TTGTTTAATTCACTGAGGGGCTGGGCTCTGGTGCATGAATCATCAACCATTATCAATGTGCATGATTATTTCCCCCTTTTATATGTCCCATATCCATACCAAGATTCTAGTAATTTCGTAAGCTTGTTCTGTGCATCGCATCTAATACTTCATCCAGCATTCCGCAGAGCCCAAAAATCGTTCCCACAACCAATTCCTCATCCGACATCCCCGCCCCCGCCCACCTGCTGCTGTGTTGACATTCTCCGCTTCTATTTCCGCCACATTCCCCCATTTCCCTTCTTCCTTTCGCCCCTATTTCCGCCCACCTCCCCTTCCCCTGCCCGCACCCACCCCCTGCAACCCCTGAGGCAGCACCGCTATAGGTGCTCCGACCGCCATTACTTGCTCACTTCCCTGTTTCTTTCAGGCTTCACGGCTCTGATTCTCCCTCACCATGGGTACGCTCCCCCTCCCTAACCCTAGCTTTCGGTCTTGCTCGTCGTCAGCGTGTTCAACTCGCGTATTCACAAGGAATGGAAACCCCTGAGTCGATGCTTACCGAATAGCGGTTTTCGCTGCTGTAGTGCGGTTTGGAGTGGTCGGAAACGGTTGAACAGGGCGGATCTTAGTCATGTTAGCGAATTACGTTGATCTGCTCGTCGTGACGTCTTGTAGGGCTGTCTGCTATGCGAAGCTGGTTGTTGGATTGGGTTTGGACAGTGTCGATCAGTCCGCGCGGTGTAGAAAGCGATCCAACGCTCGTGACGACGGTTGCATTCAAGTGACTGGAAAAACGTTGTCCAGAGTGACTGGATTCATTGTCGTACTGCGCATTCGAGGCGCTAGCGTGCTCACAAGAAATTAGGGTTTGAAGCGGCCAATAGCGTAACAAGAATTAGGGTGCTTTCTAGGTCGTTAGCTTCTCAAACGGCCGTGAATCCTCCTTGCCGGCGCAGAGACTGTTTGAGCCCTCGTTCTAAGCATGCTCGCCTTGTCTCGCTCCTCCCTGTGTCTCCCCCCGCTGTTCCTGTTTCTCCCCCACCCCCCCACCCCCCTCGTGTGCCGCCTCTTCCCGCGTTTCCGTCTCTCCATCTCCGTATCTCCGCGTCTGTCATCGTGTGCGACAGGTATCTCACGTGACTCGCTGCACAAGCGACGGGCAACAGGAGGAAAGAAGAAGCCGTGGCACAAGAAGCGCAAGTAAGCTTCTCCTCCGCTGTCCCACTCCCCCCACCCCCCGTTTCTCTCCCCTCTCCCCCCCCTTTCCCCTCCCCCCCTCCCCCCCTCTCCCTTCTCCCCACGCCACTCACCCGTTGTCGCAACGTCTCACAATATTAATCAGTTTGTTTCGCTTGTCGTCACAGCGTTTCATGCGCGGTTGTTGGATTGGTGACGAAAAGCGCTGTTCGCTCGAGTGTTTACTCACGGCCAGAGCCGTGATTCCAGAGTGCCGTACTGACTGTGCCAAGGGGTTCGGTCTGACGGGAGCGTTGCGTCCACGGTCCGCTGGTCTCCCTTGTCCCGTACTGACTGTGCCAAGGAGGTCCATTCGTAGTAGAGCTAGTGCCTGTCACCAACAGCGTACCTCGCCTGTACGTGTCGTGCGGAGGAAGATAGGGGATGGAGGATTGAAGATGGAGAATGATGGCAGCCGAATTTGCCTGGGACGATAGGGGAAGCGGAGGTCAAAATAGAATGTTTTTTGGTTCGCGAAGGAAGTTCGTGACTTGGAAACGGACGCCGTTGGTTTGGATGGATAGTCGCAAATGGTCGTACAGGTTAATGCGTGCGAGTCGCAGCCGTCGCACAGTCCGAGCAGTACAGGTTAATGGTGCGCCAAGTGCACGTTTGTCGCGCGAGTACTTTTTCCGCTTTCTCATTGTCCCCCCCTTCCCATCTCCTCCCCACTTTCCCCATTTTGCCCACCTCCCCCGCACCTTCCTCCCCCCCACACCCTCTCCCTTCCCTCCATTGCCTCCCCCCACCCCCGTTCCCCCCCTCCCCCTCCCCCCCCTTATCCCCACTCTTCCCGCTCCCCCCCGTTCCGAACGCGCGCCCGTCTCGCGCCAGGTATGACTTGGGACGGCAGGCGGCCAACACGAAGCTGAGCAGCCACAAGACGGTCCGCCGGATCCGCGTGCGCGGCGGGAACTACAAGTTCCGCGCGCTGCGCCTGGACACGGGCAACTACGCGTGGGGCAGCGAGGCGGTGACGCGTAAGACGCGCATCCTGGACGTGGCGTACAACGCGAGCAACAACGAGTTGGTCCGCACGCAGACGCTCGTGAAGAACGCCATCATCCAGGTCGACGCCGCGCCGTTCCGCCAGTGGTACCAGCAGCACTACGGGGTCGACCTCGGCAAGAAGAAGGCCAAGACCGGCAAGAAGGAGGTGAGGGACGGTGGGGGGCGGTGAGGGGCGGTGAGGGGCGGGGGGAGGTGAGGGAGGGCTGGGAAAGTGGTAAAGGAACGGGCTGCGAAAGGGGTTAACAGTCGCGCATCACGTGGCGTACAACGCGAGCAACAACGAGCTGGTCCGCACGCAGACGCTCGTGAAGAACGCCATTATTCAAGTGGACGCCGCGCCGTTCCGCCAGTGGTACCAGCAGCACTACGGGGTCGACCTCGGCAAGAAGAAGGCCAAGCCCGGCAAGAAGGAGGTGAGAGGCGGGGGGGGTGAAAGGGGAGGGGGTGCGGGGTGAGGGAAGGGCGTGGCTGTGGGGGTTAAGAGGGGGGGAAGGGGTACGGGCTCAGGGGCTTGTCTCCGTTCCGCCAGTGGTACCAGTAGCACTACGGGGTCGACCTCGGCAAGAAGAAGGCCAAGCCCGGCAAGAAGGAGGTGAGGGACGGGAGGGGCTGCTGGTTGAGGGAATGGGAGGGGTGTTTGGGGCGCGGAATGGAAGGGAGTGAGGGAGAAGTGGAAAGAGCGGGAAAGAAACAGGCGTCTAAGGGGCTAGCAGGCGGACGAAAGGGTAAAGAGACAGGCGGCGAGGGTGTGAGTCATGGCAGGAAGGAAAGCTCGGGAGAGAGTTAGATTTGCTGAGAAAAGGGGACGGTCTGAGGGAAGCGGTGGTTGCCGCTGGGGGGAGGGGACTGGGTGGTCTGTTAACGCACTTACTGGATGACTGCTCAAGCGCACACGCGTGCCAAGACAGCGAAAATGAACACGGCCGTAGCGCTGCTGGCCCCGCCTCGCCCCTTTCTCGTCTCCCACTCATCCGTCCCTTCATCCCATCCCTCATCCGACCTCTCGTCTGACCTCTCACCCTTCCTCTCATCCCCCCCTCGTCCCCCCCCCTCATCTTGCATCCCGTCTCCCTCATCCCTACCCCGGTTCATTCCATCGATCCCCATCCCTTTTGAGTCGACTCAAATTTCATCCCATCGATCCTCCTCCTTTTCCCAAACCCACGTGGTTCCTCCTGGCAGGGCGAGGAGGAGAAGGCGGAGGGCGAGGCGGTGGAGGAGGTGAAGAAGGTGAGTGCGCACGTGAGGCGCAAGCACGAGCAGCGCCTGGCGTCGCACAAGCTGGACCCGCACCTCGAGGACCAGTTCGCCGCCGGTCGCCTCTACGCCTGCATCGCCTCCCGCCCCGGCCAGTGCGGCCGCTGCGACGGGTCAGTCCCTCACTCCCCCTGCTCCTCCCCCCCTTGCCCCCCTCCTCTGCTCTGCTTTGGCCTCCCCCTTTTTCCTTCATGCACCTTTTGTTCTCGGCTTGACCGCGATCTCCTTGCTGCCCCTTTTTACCCGCTACAAGCACACCTGATGCACGCAGTAGTGGATTTCTAGTCCGGGCTGCTGACATGTGGAGTTGGTGTGTGGCATGGGCTGGCAGGTACATCCTGGAGGGCAAGGAGCTGGAGTTCTACGTGAAGAAGCTTTTGAGACGTCTCAAAAGTAGATGTTTTAGTCTCGCTGCTGACATGTGGAGCTTGCTGTATGGTGGTGCATGGCAGGTACATCCTGGAGGGCAAGGAACTGGAGTTCTACGTGAAGAAGATGCAGAAGAAGAAGGGCAAGACCGCCGCCTAGAGTGCTGCGCTCCCACCCCACACGTGCTAAGGACTGACGTGCAGTTTGCTTGTGGTGCTAGAGGGCAAGGCAGGCATGGAGAGCCAAGCCAGGCGTGCTGCCCGTGGGGGAGAACGGTTGGACGGGCAGGGCCACAGGGCATAGGCAGGCCAAGGCATTGGCTAGGTTGGACAGCTGCTGTTGTATTTGTGAGATGTAACGAGGGACTCCCCCCTCTTGCAGTGCTGCTCCCCTGTGTTCTCAATGATATGCCGCAAAGAAATTACTTCTAGCTAGTTTTCCACAAGCATCGTTTGAGCACATATGGTACAGTAAAAGTGTGCAAACAGTATTTAGCTGTGCAAATGCTGAATACTGTAGATATGAGAAACCTAAATTTGAACCGTAGATACAAGGTTGAAATTACTGCTCTTCCAGCATTTCCTCGATTTCGTTCGAATGAGTGGGAAACCCACGAGCGGGCATTGGTACTGCCGCCGGGAACAGATACAGAAACGATGACGTGGGTTCGTGCGAGTGGTCGCAAGCTTTTAGACCGCCATGTGGAGATTTCCCACATCCCATGCTTGCCCGTCCGTCTCTGGGTCTGGGCTGGTTGTTCCCGCACTGCTATTCCCCTTCGTGCTCCTTCCTCTGAAGAACCGACCCCAGGTTCACTTCACGACTCAAGACTCCAGGGTCCAGTTGTCGAACCTGCTTTTCTTCCTTTCTGTTGCTGGTGTGTTCCTCTTGTGTGTGTTGCACGCACCAAGGGGTTGCACCCAGCATTAACTCCACATTCCGTTCTTCGAGTTGACCTTCAGTCGCGAGATTCACAACTGCTTGCTGTCAGCGGCTTGTCCTGCCCTGCGCTTGTCCGTGCGCCATGCTTTAGCGTGTCTCTTCCCCAGGGCCCTCGTATGAATGCGCCGCCTTTCTTTAATTCCCTAGTCCAAACTGAAACGGCGTTTTGAACTGACGTTGACTAGGTTTCACTGACGGCGACCATGGCGGCGTCGCACGGATCGACGGCTCTCCTTCATCGCCGCCTCGCAGACACAGCCTCTCTCGCATCCGGATCCTCCTCGCTCTTCGTTCCCTCGTTGGATCCTAGCTTCTCCCCGTCCTTATCGCACCGCCATCAACGCTCGTCCGTCGATTTCCCCTCAGATCAACAATTAGATCGCCTCGTGCCAGCTGGCACCAGAGCTGCCGCCGACTGCGGCCGCAGCCGAGGCGCCAGAGCGGGCATATGCCATGCCGTTGCTAGCGGCGGGAGCGACGGTGGCAGCGGCGGAGGTGCGAACTACGCGCGGAGCTGGCGAAACAGGGGCGAGGGCGCGCGGGCTCTGGTGACTATAGCGCGGGTGGGAATCTCGATGTCAGGGCTATCGCTCGGTGGGTCTTATAGCGGGGGCTCGGGGTCCATATCAAGCACCGGGGAGGCGCAGCAGGGATGGCAGCAGCAGCGTCGACCGCAGCAGCAGCAGCAGCAGCAAAGGCCGGGGGGGAGACGCGGGGTTCTCCCGCAAAGGCGGCCATCGGCGGAGCTGCTGTCGGAGGAACGGCGGAAGAAGGAGGTGGAGCGCGCGATGCGCGAGGCTCGGGGGAAGGGGGGCGCGGAGGGGCTGGCGGAGGCATTGCAGATAGAGCCGCCGGCGCAGCCGCAGTGGCCGTTTTGGCGGAAGAAGCGCGAGTCGAGCTCCGGCGAGGCGCGCATGCTGACGCGACGCATCGTGGAGCTGGGGAAGCGGCGACAGCTGGACCAGGTAGAGAAGGGGGAGAGAGAGAGAGAATGGGACGGAGAGGATGACGTTCGAGTCGACTTAAAGGCTGGCCAAGGAGCGCTAGTTGGACCAGGTAGAAGAGTGTGATCGATCGAGGCAATGTAGATAGGAATCAAGGCAGCCCAGATGTTTAGGAAGTAGGTAAATGGCAAATCCAGACAGGAGAGAGGATAGATGGAAGGGATGGAGGTGAAAATCCCGGCAATGAAGGAGTATCAGGGATGGATGGATTAAGCTTTAATGGCTGGGCGCGATGAATCGAGCACAAGGCCAAGCAAGAGTAAAACGCGAAGGTAGGTTGACAGCTTGGGAGCCGCGACGACAGGAAAACGACAGGTCAGGTTAATGCGACTGACATGGCTTCGTACGTCAGGTGCAGGTGTTTGAAACGTGCAGCACGTACCCCAATCAATAGCAGGTGTTACTTCAAATTTGCAACAATCTCTCATACGAGGGCTCGCTTCTCGCTTGACCGCAGGAAGGCGGTGAACATGATCACCGTGACTGCCGCCATGGCGGCCTGCGTCAACTGCAGGAGTTTGAGGTGTAAATAGCGCGCTTACCCGTTCTAATCACAGTGTACCCCGCACCCCATCGCATCGCAGGTGTTTCAACTGCTGGAGGACGCGAAGCGCAGCAAGAAGGCGGTGAACATGATCACGATGAATGCGGCCATGGCGGCGTGCGTGAACTGCGGCGACATCGACCGCGCGCTCGACCTTTTCGACGACATGACGGCGGACGGCGGCACGGGCGTCGACTCAATCACCTACGGCACGCTGCTCAAGGTGCGCTGCTACCGTTTTTTTTTGTTTTTAAAGTTCCAAATAGGGCAGTCTTTATATTATGAGTAAGCATGGCGTCCACACCATCACTTACTGCGCACTCTGCTCAACGTACGTTGCTTCATTCCGTCACCCTGTACCCCCTTTGCGCGCTTCCCCCTCCTTCCACACAGGGTCTCGGCCGTGCAAAGCGGTTGGACGACGCTTTCGAGGTGTTGGAGGCGATGGAGGACGGCACGGCGCCGGGGCGGCCGGAGCTGACGGCGGTGCACCTCAACACGCTCGTCAACGCGTGCGCGGACGCGGGGGACGCTCGGCGCGCCGTGAGCGTCGTGCAGCGCTACAAGCGCGCCTTCTCGGGGGCTATTGGGCCGTCCGCGTTTACTTACAACCTGCTGCTCAAGGTAAGCAAGCAGAATAATTCGCACCAGGCTATTGGGCCGTCCGCATTCACCTATAACCTGCTGCTCAAGGTGCGCAGAATGATCCGGACCAAGCCTCACTTGAGTATATGTGCTCCCCTGCCCTTTCTCCCTCATTCCGCCTTGCTCTTTCTCTCGTTTCCCGCACCATTCCACCCCCGCCTCTCTGGTCATCCCCCATCCCTTGTCAACCCCCCCCCCCCCCCCCGCCATCCTACCCCCGTCCGCCAGGGCTACGCGCGGTCGGACAATCCTTTAGAAGCGCTGAGTGTGGCGGAGGAGATGCACCTGCAGGGGCTGCAGTGGGCGCGAGTCACCTTCAACTGCCTCACCCCCTCGCTTCCCCCTTCACCCCTCCCTTGGGCTTACCCCGTCCCCCCTCGCCAGGGCTACGCGCGGTCGGACAAACCTTTAGAAGCGCTCAGCGTAGCAGAGGAGATGCACCTGCAGGGGCTGCAGTGGGCGCGCATCACCTCCAACTGCCTCATCCTCTCTTCCCCCTTCACCCCTCCCTCCCCTCCCCCGCCCATCCCTCCGCCCATCCCCCCCCCTCCCCCAGGGCTATGCGCGGTCGGACAACCCTTTAGAAGCGCTGAGTGTGGCGGAGGAGATGCACCTGCAGGGGCTTCAGTGGGAGCGCGTCACCTTCAACTGCCTCATCCTCGCCTGCGTGCGCGCTGGTGACATGGACCGCGCACTCGACCTCCTGCAAGATATGAAGGTGGGGGAAGGAGGGGGGGGATGGGTGCGGGGGGCGTGCGCGCAGGGGGATGGGCGCGGGGGTGCAGAGGGAGCAGGGGCATGAGTGCGGCCGGCGACATGGCCCGCGCGCTCGACCTGCTGCAAGATATGAAGGTGCGCTTACGGGGGGGATGGGCGGGGGGGCGTGGGCGCAGAGGGCGTGGCGTGGGCGCAGGGGGGCATGAGTGCAGGGGGACATGGTCGCAGGGGGACATGGTCGCAGGGGGACATGGTCGCAGGGGGACATGGTCGCATGGGGTCGTGGGCGCAGGGGACATGGGCCCTTGCAGGGCATGACAGGCCATGCAGGCATGTACAGTGCTACGTGAAGTGCATTATCATCTGCTGCAAGCAGGCGCATAACCCGTTCCTTGTGCTATATCTGGCAACGGCGTCAAGAGGTGAGAGCGTGTGGATTGGATTGTATTCATGCGAGTGCATTTCCCGGGCATGTGCATGTACACGCTCATGTGCGTGTATTCATGACTGTGTATGTGTAACCCCATGCGACAAGTCTCTTGGCAGGCAGAGGCATTGAGGAGGGGCGATGACGACGTGCTGCCAGACGCCGTCACCTACACCACCATCATCAAGGTACACCCATGCCCCTCTTGCGCACCCATGCCCCTCTTGCGCACCCATGCCCCTCTTGCGCACCCATGCCCCTCTTGCGCACCCATGCCCCTCTTGCACACCCATGCCCCTCTTGCACACCCATGCCCCTCTTGCACACCCATGCCCCTCTTGCACACCCATGCCCCTCTTGCACACCCATGCCCCTCTTGCACACCCATGCCCCTCTTGCACACCCATGCCCCTCTTGCACACCCATGCCCCTCTTGCACACCCATGCCCCTCTTGCACACCCATGCCCCTCTTGCACACCCATGCCCCTAATGTGCCTCTGGTTTTATTCAACCATGCCTCTTGCCTCACACACACACCACCCACATGCCCGTTCCACATGCCTCCCACCAGGGAGGGACGTGGTGCAGGATGACGCACAGAAGCTGCGATCACTCACTCCCTCTCTCCTCCCCTGCGGTCTTCTCCCGCCTTGCCCCCACCGCACCCCACCAGGGTCTATCGGAGGAGGGCGACATAGAGGCGCTGAGGGACGTGGTGGCTGGCGGACATGAAGCGCGCCAGCTGTGGTGGCTCTTCCTTCCCATCTCCCCTCCCCCAGGGTCTATCAGAGGAGTGCGACGTAGAGGCGCTGCGGGACGTGGTGGCGGACATGAAACGCGCCAGCTGTTGCTACTCATCTTCCCCACGCCCTCTTTCCCAATTGTCCACCTCCCCCCTTCCTTCCCCACCCACTCCCCTCTCCCCACCCACCAGGGTCTATCAGAAGAGGGCGACCTAGAGGCGCTGAGGGAAGTGGTGGCGGGCATGAAGCGCGCCAGCTGCGGCTATTCACTCCCCCCCACTCATCCCCACCCTCTCTCCCTTCCACCTCCCACCCCAACCATCCCCCCCTCTCCCCACCCACCAGGGTCTATCAGAAGAGGGCGACCTAGAGGCGCTGAGGGAAGTGGTGGCGGGCATGAAGCGCGCCAGCTGCGGCTATTCACTCCCCCCCACTCATCCCCACCCTCTCTCCCTTCCACCTCCCACCCCAACCATCCCCCCCTCTCCCCCCTCACCAGGGTCTATCAGAAGAGGGCGACCTAGAGGCGCTGAGGGAAGTGGTGGCGGGCATGAAGCGCGCCAGCTGCGGCTATTCACTCCCCCCCACTCATCCCCACCCTCTCTCCCTTCCACCTCCCAACCCAACCATCCCCCCTTCTCCCCCCTCACCAGGGTCTATCAGAAGAGGGCGACCTAGAGGCGCTGAGGGAAGTGGTGGCGGGCATGAAGCGCGCCAGCTGCGGCTATTCACTCCCCCCCACTCATCCCCACCCTCTCTCCCTTCCACCTCCCACCCCAACCATCCCCCCCTCTCCCCCCTCACCAGGGTCTATCAGAAGAGGGCGACCTAGAGGCGCTGAGGGAAGTGGTGGCGGGTATGAAGCACGCCAGCTGTGTTAACTCTTCCACCCCACTCAACCAATCCATCTCTTTCTTCCACCTCCCCACCCCGTCCCCCATTATCCCCCCTCCCCCACTGCACAGGGTCTATCAGAGGAGGGCGACCTAGAGGTGTTGAGGGACGTGGTGGCGGACATGAAGCGCGCCAGCTGTGTGCTCAGCCCTGCCACGCCCTCTTTCCCAACCGTCCACCTCCCCCCTACACACCCGCTCCCCCCTCCCCATACCCCAGGGTCTATCGGAGGAGGGCGACCTAGAGGCGCTGAGGGACGTGGTGGCGGACATGAAGCGCGCCAGCTGTGTGCGCAGCCCTGCCGGCCCCTCCCTGCCGCACTGCCACACGCTGCTCGCGGCTGATGGGGGCGAAGAAGGCGTGAGCAGCCCTGCCAGCACCGTGACTAGCAGCACTGGCGTCGCTGGTAGCAGCACTGGCGTGGTTGACGGCAGCAGCACTGGCAGCAGCACTGGCAGCAGTAGCGGGGGTGGGACGAGCAGCAATCCGCTGGGGATGGACCGAGTGGCCTACACGGCCATCATCGACGCCTTCATTGCTGTCGGCTCGCCTGAAGGTACGTGTGGATGGGTGGTTTGTGGGTGTGGTCTGTGTGGGTGGTGTGTGCATGTATGGGTGTGAGCAGCAGTAGCAGCAGCAGCAGCGGCAGTGCCACCAACAGCAGCAGCGGCAGTGCCACCAACAGCAGCAGCGAGCAGCAATCCGCTGGGGATGGACCGAGTGGCCTACACGGCCATCATTGACGCCTTCATTGCTGTCGGCTCGCCGGAGGGTGCGTGTGTGCGGTGTGTGTGGTTGTGCGTGTACGTGGGTGCGTTTATGTGTGGGTGTGAGGTATGCATGGATGTATGGGTGATGGATGCGTGGATGCATGTATGTGTGTGCATGTGCCACTCCGTGCTGCCATCACATCACCCCTCTTCATTTCCACTCACACGCAATGCACCACATGGCACACCTCGAAACCTCAAGCCACACAGGTCATCCATGCCATGGGTGTGTGTTCTCTCTTCCTGCGCACACTGCTTTCCACTGCTTCCTGCCAATTCTCCCCCCTCTCCTCACACCCCCCCACCAACCTCCGCCGTCTTCCCTTCCTCCTCACCTGTCCCCTCACCCTTTGTCCATTTCTCCTCCCCTTCCCCCCAGACGCCTTGCAGTGCATGGCGGACCTGGAGGAGCTGGGGCGGACAGACCGCGCCATGTGCTTCAGATGGCCTTCGAGTTGGCTCAAAAGCCCCCCCTGCCTTTCCCCCCTGCCTTTCCCCCCTGCCCTTTCCCCCTGCCCTTCCCCCCTGCCCTCCCCCCCCCCCCAGAGGCGCTGCAGTGCATGGCGGAGCTGGAGCAGCTGGGGCGGGCGGACCGAGCCATGCGGCCGCGGGCGCACGCCTTCCTCGCCCTCATGCGCTCCCTCGCTGCCTCTCCCACCCACCTACCCACCCTCCCCCCGTCTCCCCTTTTGCCCCCCAGACGCGCTGCAGTGCATGGCGGAACTAGAGGAGCTGGGGAGGGCAGACCGCTCAATGCGGCCGCGAGCCCACGTCTTCCTCTCCCTCATGCGCTCCCTCGCTGCCGCCGGCGACCTGCCGTCCACGCAGCAGCTCGCCGCCCGGCTGGTGCGCGACGCGGGCGGCAGAGTGTGGCCGGAGGAGCGGGCGGAGGCGGCAGAGCTGGTGCTGGAGGCTGCCACCCGGGCGGGCGAGGTGAGCTTCGAGACGTTAGAAAACGAGCTCACTCTCACACCAAGGCTGGCGAGGTGATCTTGAGACGTCTCACTACAAGATCACTCTCACTCTCACATGGCGGCAGAGCTGGTGCTGGAGGCTGCCACTCGGGCTGGCGAGGTGAGCTTGAATTGTCTTGTCTCACAACAAGATCACTCTCACGAGGCGGCACGGCCGCTGCTGCTGGGAAACACGAATGGCGCCGGCCAGGCGACTGGTGCAACTGTGCAATGAGAACATTAGAGTGGACTTAAAAAGTTTCTTATTGCAATGAGAGGATACCTAGGGTAGTGGTTCATGCATGAATGAAAGAAAGCAGACGCAAGAGAATACCTAACAAGGGCTGCCCTGCCCATGCATTGTAATCCCCAACATGCAGTGTCGCATTGACCACCATGCCCCCCCCCCCCCCCCTTCCATGTGGGCCCCCTTCCATCAGATGGGCGTGGCAGCACGACTGCTGGATCAGATGGAGGTGATGCACGGCTACCAAAGGGCTGCCCAAACATGAGCATCTCTTGTATTCAACTTGCCTCCATGTCCACCCCTTTCCCCCCTTGCCACACCGCCAACTCCATCAGATGGGCGTGGCAGCGCGGCTGCTGGATGAGATGGAGGCGATGCACGGCCACCAGCTGCGCATGTCCCTCCGCGGCATGCAGGTAAGCAAAGCCAGTGTCATTCTAGGTCAAGCGTGCATGCAAGCCAACGTGGTGCGGTGTGGACATGCTGCTGCTTTGCTCTGCCGAATGGCACCTCTCTTTGTTTTCCGTTACCTGCATGTCCACCACAACTACACTTTCCCTGATTGGCTCCTGTTGAGTCTTGTTGACTCCTGTTGACTTCTGTTGACTGGCAGGCGGTGGTGCAGCTGATGGCAGCAACGGGGACGGGCTTTGAGCGCTTCACGCCCATCGGCATCAGACAAGAGGTGCCCAAAACGGTGCTCCTTCCTCTCTCTCTCTCCTCCTTAACCTCTCTCTCCTCCTTAACCTCTCTCTCCTCTTCACGCCCATCGGCATCAGACAAGAGGTGCCCAAAACGGTGCTCCTTCCACTCTCTCTCCTCCTCACCCTATCTCTTTCACTCTTCCACACAGTCCCTCACTCACTCGTCCTTGTATTTCACTCTACCACACACTCTCTTGCTCTCTCCTGCCCCATCCTTCCCTTCCCACAACGGCCTTTCTCCCTTCCCTCTCCCCTTCTCGTTTTCCACCTCAAGTCCTGGATCGATCTCCTGTGTTTCTACCCCCACCTGTTCTCCCAACTAGCCTTCTCATGTGCGTGCATTCTCTGGAGGGGAGGGGGGTGCGGGGGGACTTTTGAGAATTCTCGAAATGTATTCGTTGGAGGGGAGGGGGGTGCGGGGGGGTGATGGTGTGCTGGATACATGTGCTGTGGTGGGATTGATGACTTGTTGCTCAAGTCCAAGCCTCCATGCACACCCCACTGTCTCTCCCACCCTCCAAGCCTGCACGCTCCACATCTCCATCCTCTTTCTGTGACCCCTCTGTCTTGACCGACAAACCTCTCAACCTACCCACACCCCTCCTTTTTCCTTCTCTCTTGTTTTCCATTCTCTGCTCACCCATGTGCCTGCCAGCTATCGCTGCGTGATACGGTGCAGTCTGTCATGGTTCCCCTGGCTGACGTGGCAGTGGCCCACCCTGACCAGTCACTGGCGGAGCTGAGGTCAGCACGGCCAGATCTGATGCCCGCTGACGTCATCCCGGTGATCAACGGTGCCGATGAATGCGTGGGCGTGCTGACAGTACCCAGCCTTGCCATGGTGAGTCGCACATGGGTCACATGACATGGCGAGTCGTATGGATCATATGGGTCAGATGCTAGTGTCAACGTTCATAAGCATCATAACTTCTCTGAACCTTCACGTATCATGTCGGCATTTCAGAAATTACCCCAGCTCACCTGCCCTTTCTGCCATCTTTCTTCCATCCCTACACCCATCAAAAGTTTCATTTCACCACAATTCCAATTCTTCTCCCTTTCACCCTTCCCTCTCTGCCCTCTCCCCCAACCCCAGGACCCCACGGCCCTCATCTCGCACCTCATGCTGCCCCCCCCGCCCTCGCTCTCCTGCCTCTCCACCATCTCTGAAGCTGCTCTGCTGCTCTCCTCGCGCCGCACGCCCCTGGCGGCAGTGGTGGCGGGCAGTGCACGCATGCGCTACGGGCTCGCCAAGGAGGCTGCACAGAGGAGCTCGGGGGAGGAGCGGCGCGTGGTGGGGGTTGTGCGTGCTGAGGCCGTGTTCGAGGGGCATGGTGGGTGCTGGTGGCACTCTGGGGAGCAGAGGGAGGGTGCTTCTGTGGAGAGTGGTGATGTGCCTTTTGGTGAAGTTGAAGGTGGGGGTTTTGGTGGCCGGACTGAAGTCAGCAGCAGTGATTCCGACTCCCTTGTGGTTGCATGAAGGCAGCTTGAAGTTATGAAAAAAAGGAAATCGTGTTTGTTTTCTAGGGTGCTTGGATGCGTTGTGTGCTGGACTGGAGCTGTGACAGGCACACGAAACCCCTGTAATAAGGTTGGGGTTTTGCTTAAGTATAGAATACCATTGAAAACCAGAAGTCTGCCTCGTCTGAATAGCGAGTGACTAATGTGGCAGCAACTACTGTGTTGCATTGGGAGTTTTTGTAAGTGAAGCAAAACAAAAGCGCGCAAATGTACGTCATCAGCTACAGTAACTTGGGGCAATTATTGTCAGAGCCGCCAACCACCGAAGACGCCAACACTGATCCCACCCTTTTCCCGCGCGATTACCAAAAACCATTCTCTGGGTTGCGGCTGCGTTTGAACACCCTCTCCACTCCACACTCACCATGCTTCTTCACCTGTGCTCACTGCTATCCTGCCTGCCATAACCGTAGTTTTACAAGCTTGCGTTGCTTCAAGGGTGTCCGCCAGACACTCTTGAAATGCGTAGCTGACCTTTAGCTGCGCAAGTTGTTCAATTCATTGTCGGTGAGCATTTATTGATTTATCCGCAATGCCTGCCGCCGCAAGGCACGTCATTTCCCCCTCAATGTCGTGTCGTATCCAGCTATCTGTGACTGATGCGGTGCGAGATTGTCACTATCGAAGCCAAATCCACGTGTCGTCGTCTGTGCTGCACGAAATGACGTCCTTCCGGAGCGCAGTGCGCCCTGCTGACGTGGTTCAGTTCGTGGCCAGAAGACCATTTCTCGTGCCGAGAAATCTCCCCCATTCCTCTAGCGCGTTTCACCAGCGTCGCAAGACATACAGCGTACGCGTTGTAAGGCCCGGATTCGAGGACAACAGCGCAAACCATAGGAGGCTCGTGGTCGCACAATGCTGTAGCAACGACGCAGGAGCCAATAAAAGGCGAGACGCGATTGGCGATTTCAGCAGTGACATTAATTTTAAAAGAGGGAATTCCGACAACTGTCGAAGCGGCACGAACCACGGCGGAAGAAGCTTCGATACAAGCAGGTTCTGCAATGACACGAGGCCTGAGCCACGCGTAAACGGCAGAAGCTGGAAGGAGCAGTTGACGTGGCATATGCGGAATTCGACATTGGTGAGTGCTGGTAGAAAGTCAGTCTGGCCATGCGACGTGATATCATGTATGAATTGTATTTCCTGGCAACCTGATGATGCTAGATCCTATATGGTATGCGGGCAGTCTGATCATGCAATGTGGTATCCTGCCAATCTGACAATGCAATGTGGGAATCTGGCAATGTTATCATACAATGAGGTAACCTGGAAATCTAATCATGCATTGCGGTAACCTCGCAATTTGATCATGCTATGTGGTATGCTGGCAATCTGATAATGCTATCTGGTAACCTGGAAATCTTATCATGCAATGTGTCCATCTGTCATCGATTTGTCTTTCTCTCTCCGCCCTCCCTTCAGGCCCTCGCCCTGCTCTCTGCGCCATTCCTCGCGGCCCTTGCATCCCCCCTCACACCCTGCCCAGCCACACGACTTCGCCTCGCCCCACCAACGGCCACTGCAGCCACGCTCTCTGCCTCCCCCGACTCCCAACGGACCAATCAGAAAGAATCTTCTGCCGCTGCTGCTTCCAGCAGCACAAGTTATGAGACCAGTGCTAATGCTGCTGGTGATGCTGCCGCTGGTGCTCCTACTGATGGTGCTGTTGACATTGGAACCCTCAACTCCACCAGCACCACCGCCACCCCTGCCACCTCTGCTACCGCCCCCCCCTCCACCCGCCCATCCCCACCGCACTCCATTACATCCCTTCCCTTAGCCGCCGCATCCCCCAACCTAGCGTCCATGTGGCAGCGCGTGATTGGCTCCACCTCCGAGTGGGTTCCCCGGCCGGTCACCGGGCAGATAGGCCTGCAGGTGGGGCCGCCCGCGCCCCTCTTCACCCTCCCTGAAACCCAAACCCACGCCGAGAGCTCCCAGAGCTTATGGGGGGGGGATCTCAGCTCCTCTGACTCATCTCTCAGCGCGCAGGACTGGCAGCAGCAGGGGCAGCTGCGGGGGGAGACGGCCATGGGGGTGCTGCTGTCGCCGGGGGGCCCGTGGGGGCGGCTGGTGAGGGAGTGGCGGTGGGCGCGCGTGCAGTACCTGTGGGATGTGCTGCTGGAGCGCCACCCCATCGTGTGCGTTCCTTGCTCCTCGTACTCTACCATGCCTGCCTCCCTGTTTGCAAGTGTCTTTGAATACTCTCATAAAACACCTGCCATTCTTGAAAAGTACGCTGGAGTGCCATCCCATCCTGTGCGCCCCTTGATTCTCCTGCTCTTCCCATTCTTTCTCCTTCCTCCGTCCGGGAGGGTTCCTCGCTCCGTCTGCAGCTTGTTCCTCTGCCATGCCATCCCATGCTCATGCCATGTCATGCCCCACCCACGCCATGGCCTATGCCATGGCCTATGTGCCTCGCCCCTCCCCCCCATGCCCCACGGCAGGTACATCATGCTTCTCATGACCATGTGCACAACACTAGTCTTCCTCGGCGGCTTCCTCTTCCACCATGCCCCACGCCATGCCCCACGCCTTATACTCCATACCCCATTGCCCCATACCCCGTGCCCCACTACAGGTACATCATGCTGCTCATGACCATGTGCACTACACTCGTCTTCCTGGGAGGATTCCTCTTCCACACCTTCCGGTAACCACCACCCCCTCGCTGCCACACCGCCCAGTTTGTGTTGGTCCTCGGAACCCCTGCCTGCCAGCTTTTTTTTGACGCGCAACTGTCTGTCTTTCTTCCACATACAAACCAAACCCCTCGCTTTGCAGATTCCTCTTCCCTTCAGCATATTTCTCGGCTCTTTCCCTTTGAAATGAAATTTCTCAATAACTCACTAGACCACTCTCACAGAAGTAGCCACAAGTTTGCTGTCAGCAGCGTGTTGACTTGTGCGCTGCTGAGCCATGTGCGCTGCTGAGCCATGTGCGAATGCCATCATATCATAGTCATCGAGTCAACGCCGCTGACATGTCATCATCACCATTTTATTACTGCTTCCATAGCATTGACTGCACCAATTGCATTGACCACATTGACTGCTGCATTGACCACATTGACTGCATTGACTGCTGCATTGACTGCTGCATTGACTGCATTGACTGCATTGACTGCTGCATTGAGTGCATTGACTGCTGCATTGACCGCGTTGACTGCTGCATTGACCGCACTGACTGACCGCAAACGCACTGCGTGTGCATCCATGGCACCGGCTCTCATCGACTGCATTCACCGCATTGACCGCATGGCAGGCAGCGCAAGACGCACATGTGGGACGCGTGGTCCGCCCTCGTGTCGTCCAGCTCTACCCTATTACTGCTGCATTCACTGCACTGACTGCTGCATTCACTGCACTGACTGCTGCATTCACTGCACTGACTGCTGCATTCACTGCACTGACTGCATTCACTGTTCATTGACCGCATGGCAGGCAGCGCAAGAGTCTGGGCGAGGACATGTGGGATGCGTGGTCCGCCCTCGTGTCGTCCAGCTCGCACCTTAAGGTACCCTCCGCCCCTCCCTGCCTGCCCGCCTCACCCCTCTGCCTCCCCTTCCTCTCTCCTCCTCTCCCCCTGTGGACGCATGTGTGTGGCGATCGCGTGTGCTGGGTGGGGTGTGGTTGATTGCTGTGGGGTGCGGTGGAGAGGTGCAGGAGGCCGCAGGAGCCGTTTGGGGAGGCGCTGTGGGACGCGTGGGGCAATGTGTGCTCGTCGCGCCAGCACCTCCGGGTACTGCTGCTGCCTTAGAGCCATTTGCCTGCCTTACCTCCCTCACCCTGCCTGAGTGCGTCTATTGCTAGCTCTGCGCTGTGGGACGCGTGGGGCAATGTGTGCTCATCGCGCCAGCACCTCCGGGTACTGCTGCTGCTTCCTAGGGCTCTTTTCTCTTGCTGTTAGCGCCCTCACTGCTGCTTTAGAGTCTTTGCTGTTGCCTTAGAGCACTCTCTCACTCGCTGCTCTGCTTGCTTAGAGCACTCGCTGCTCCTGTTCACTCCCGCCTTGCCTATTCTTTCTCTTACCCTGTCCGAGTGCATCTATTGCTAGTTGTATTCTCCATCTTACCCTGCTCGATAGTGTCTATTGCTACCTTTTCCCGTGTGGGGCGCGTGGGGCCATGTGTGCTCGTCCCGCTAGCACCTCGGGGTCCTCTTGCTGGTGCCGCTGGTGGTTATAGCAGCTTGCTCCAACCGCCCTGTTTGGGAGGCACTGTTGTGGCCTCTGCATGGGACTCATGCTGCGGCTCTGCGTTATCCTCTGCTTCCTTGCTTGCTTGCTGGCGCTGCTGATTTTTCAGGTTCTCCTTCTCCTCTCCTCTCTTCATCCGCCCCACTTCCCATCTGCAACCGCCAATCATCTTCTTCCCTCCGCCCTGTCCCCCTCCCTCGCATGGTGTGGCAGGAGAGCACGCAGGAGGGGAGGGTGATAGGCATCATGCTCACGCTGGGCGGGCTCTTCTTCTACTCGCTGCTCACCTCCACCATGACCGCCCAGTTCAAGGTGCACGTGCTCTCATCTCAAGTGCTACACCTTGTTGTGTGAGGCGTTAAGAGAATGCCTCTTCTTCTACTGGCTGCTCACCTCCACCATGACCGCACAGTTCAAGGTGCGTGTGCTCTCACGTGCTCTCATATTCTCTCAAGTGAATTGCCCAGTTCAAGGTGTGTGTGCTTTTAAGTCGACTCACAAGTCACCTCGCTGGGAGGGCTCTTCTTCTACTCGCTGCTCACCTCCACCATGACCGCCCAGTTCAAGGTGCACGTGCTCTCCTCTCATGTGCTTTTAGTTAAACCCCAGAGGCTGAACCGTGTTGTGTGAGGCGTTAAGAAAATGCCTCTCCGTCTACTCACTGCTCGCCTCCACCATGACTGTGCAGTTCAAGGTGCCTCTGCTCTCATGTGCTCCCACATACTCTCACGTGCTCTCATGTGCTCCCACGTGCTCTCACATGCTCTGATGTCAACCCTACACTTCCAACTTCAACTGCTTAACCCCACACTCCAGTTCAACCTATGTTGTTGTGTTCGGGTCTCCCCCCCGCCTTTCTCTCACTCCGCCTTTATTGAATTATTAAAGGGGTTCAATAAGGGCTTCCCGTGGCCCACACCAATCTGCTCCTAAGTGCAACTGCTCATGCTCTGCTCTCCGCTCTTGTACCCGCTGCTCACCTCCACTCCACCTCTCCATTCGCTACTCACTCTTCCTCATGCCCATGTGAGCAGCTGCGCATGGAGTGGCTGAGGGAAGGCGCGCATTCTCTCTGCCCTTGAACTCACCTCCACCTCCCCATTCACTGCACACCCCGCCCCTCCCGCCCCGCTCCGCCCCGCCCTGCCCCCCTGTGAGCAGCTGCGCATGGAGTGGCTGAGGGAAGGCGCTCACTCGCAGGTGAGAGGGGGCTATGGTCTTCCCCTGGGGTGTGCTGTGCTGTGCTGTACTGTGAGTGCAACATGCGAATGCTTTGCTCATGAAAGGCATACTAACAGCAAGCTTCTATTACCACATCAAGTCCCCTCTTCTCCTACGTTTTCCCTCCTTTCCCTCCTTTCCCTCCTCTCCCTCCTTCTCCCCTTTCTTCCTTCCTCTTTTCCTCCCCGCACATTTCCCCTGCTCACATTTGCTCACTCCTGCTCACCCTGCTCACCCTGCTCACCCCTGTGCACGCACCAGGTGATGGAGCGGGACCACATAGTGATAGGGGGAATCAACAACCGCCTCGCCACGCTGCTCACTCCTCACTCACTCCTGCTCTCCCCTTCACCACCTGCACCAGGTCATGGAGTGGGACTGATCGGCCACATACTGATCGGCACCAGGCCATCGGGACCAGGCCATCGGCACCAGGCCACATACTGATCAGCTTCAACGAGTGATCAGCTCCTCCCTGGCCCTGCCTCTCTGCGCCTTCCCCTGTCCCACCTCCTGCACTGCACCAGGTGATGGAGCGGGACCACATAGTGATAGGCGGCATCAACAACCGCCTCGCCACGCTGCTGCGCCAGCTCAGCAAGAGCCAGCACTTTGCCGTGCAGGATGGCTCTGCAGTCACCAGGTGGGCAGGGGAGGAGTTCTTGTGGTGATGCTGGGATGCTGCTGTGGGGTAATGCTGCTGTGGTGCCGCTGCTGTGGTAATGCTGCTGGAGAGTCCATCCTTTCGAGTGTTTGCTCAGCGAGAGCCAGCAGCACTGCTGGCAGGACAGTCACAAACAGCACTGCTGCAGGACAGTCACAAACAGCACTGCTGGCAGGACAGTCACAAACAGCACTGCTGGCAGGACAGTCACAAACAGCACTGCTGGCAGGACAGTCACAAACAGCACTGCTGGCATGCCATGCCATGGTTGTGCCGCATGCCCTTTGCCTCCTCGACTACAGTGCATCACCCGCCTCACAGAGAACCACCCGCCTCTCAGTGCAGTACGGCCCTTCCTCTCCCATACACACTAGGACCTGCAGTCATGCCGACGCACTGCCTCTGCCTGCTCCCTCGCCCATGCACACCCCTTGCTGCTCCTCTTCACTCCACTGCCTGCCCACCAGGAAGCGCACAGTGCTGCTGCTGCGCACAGAGCTATCATCTTCCCCCTCTGGCTCTCTTTCAAGTCACCACCGCCCCTCTGCTCCCTTCCCTTCCCCCCCGTTTGGCCCTTCACCTACCTACCCACCAGGAAGCACACGGTGCTGCTTCTAACGGAGCTGCCACGCAAGGAGACGGAGAAGATCGTGTCGCCTTACCTCAAAGACTGCCGGCACAGTGCTGCTCACACAACCATCATCCTTCCCTCTGCCTCTGTTTCACCACCATTCCCTTCTCCCGCCTCCAACTCCACCAGGAAGCGCACGGTGCTGCTGCTGACGGAGTTACCGCGCAAGGAGGCGGAGAAGATCGTGTCGCCGTACCTCAAGGACTGCCAGCACATCAACCTCTTCATTCGCAGGTGCCTCCTGCCATACTCTGTCATCTCACAATAGCATGTGCCATGGCATTGCCCTAACCCGCACATTCCAGTGCAGTGGCGACACTCCATCCATAGTCGCTCTCGCTCACCTTACCCCATACTTGCAAGCAGCAAGCCCTAGCATCGCCCCCCCTCCTCACTGCTTGCCTGAGACAGCGCTCTACCCACAACATTCTCCGCTGCCACCTTCACCTCCACCATGAATGCTCACTTCCCTTCAACCGCCCACCCCTCACTATAACCCCTTCCTCTTCCTCTCCGCTCTCCTTCTCCCTCGCCCCTCTCTTCCCTTGTGCCCGCGCCGCGCCCTTCCCTCTCACTTCTTACCAGCGGCCTGCTCAGCAGCACGGCGTCGTTCAAGGAGGCGGCAGCAGACAGGGTACAATCTGGGCCCACTCTTTCTCCCCCTGCCCCCGCGTTCTCCCTTCTCCCCTCCCCTTCTCCCTCACCAGCGGCCCGCTCAGCAGCACGGCATCGTTCAAGAAGGTGGCAGCAGACAGGGCGCGCTCAGTCATACTCCTGGCGCCCAAGGACGACTAGTGAGTGCCCTGCTTCCTGCTGCGCGCACACCCCCTGCTAGCATTGCAGCAGCATGGCTTCTGAGGCGCCTCAAAAGCCCCGCTGCTGGAGCTGCAGCAGCATGCGTGCATGTCCCAGCAGCATGCGTGCTTGTTCCAGCAGCATGCGTGCATGTTCCAGCATCGCCTCAAAGCTCTACAAGGTGGCGGCAGACAGGGCGCGCTCAGTCATTCTCGTGGCCCCCAAGGACGACTAGTGAGCAACCCTCGTTTCTGCCAAATCTCCTACTAGCACTGTCACCCGTACGCCTCTCGTTGCTCCCATCTCTCCCTCTCCTTTCCCGACTGCCCTTCCTCCCTACCCACGTCGTGCCCTTCTCCTTTCTCCATCGACCGCCCTCCCTCCCCTCTGCGGCACCGACACGGGCGTGGTGGCGGAGGTATCAAAGGGCAGCACGTGATCACTGCTGAGGGGCATGGCGGAGGTGCGCGTGAGCGCCGTGGAGAACCGTGGTAAACAGCAGCACGACATCACTGCTCTGTGCCTTTCAGGCGTTGGGCAGCACTGCTCAACGCCTTTCATCCACCTCTCCCCCCTCTCCTTCCCTCTCCTTCCCCTCTTCCAGCTACGAGGCAGATGCAGACTTGGTAATGTCGGTGATAGCGCTGAAACCTTTGCTTCGCGACTCCAACACGGGATTCGTTGCAGAGGTGTCAAAGGGCAGCACGGGGTCGCTGCTGCGGGGCATGGCGGAGGTGCGAGTGAGCGCCGTGGAGAACCGTGCTAAACAGCAGCACGGCATCACTGCTCTGTGCCTTTCAGGCGTTGGGCAGCACTGCTCAACGCCTTACATCTACCCCTCCCCCCTCTCCTTCCTCTACCACCAGCTACGAGGCAGATGCAGACGTGGTGATGTCGGTGATAGCCTTGAAACCTTTGCTTCGCGGCTCAAACACGGGGGTGGTGGCGGAGGTATCAAAGGGCAGCACGGGGTCGCTGCTGCGCGGCATGGCGGAGGTGCGCGTGAGCGCCGTGGAGAATCTCTCTGCCAAGCTCTTCGTGCAGTGCTCTAGGCAGCCGGGGCTCGTGGACGTTTACTGCAAGCTGCTGGACCATGCTGGTGAGGATATACAGGGGCCACACAGATAGAGGGGGGTCAGACAAGCAGGGAGTGGGGTAAAGGGGTGAAGGGGAGCGCTGTGGAGAATCTCTCTGCCATGCTCTTCGTGCAGTGCTCCAGGCAGCTGGGGCTCGTTGATGTCTACTGCAAGCTGCTGGACCACACTGGTGGGTGGGGGTGGGTGGGGTGGACAGAGGGGAAGCAGGGACGAGGGTAGTGGGGTGGAGGGGTAGGGGATGAAGGGTGCTGCTCTCTGTGCAGTGCTCCAGGCAGCTGGGGCTCGTTGACGTCAACTGCAAGCTGCTGGACCACACTGGTGAGTGGGGATGAGCGGACAGGGTAGAGGAGGTATGGATTGAAAGGCGTGGGAAAGCAAGCAGGGAGTAGGAGGGGAAGGGGCACCTCTCCGCCATGGAGAATCTCTCTGCCAAGCTCTTCGTGCAGTGCTCCCGGCAGCCGGGGCTGGTCGATGTGTACTGCAAGCTGCTGGACCACACTGGTGGGTGGGTGGAGAGGGGTATAGAGGGGTAGGGGGTGCAGGGCAGCACAGAAGCTCTCCTCAGGGGCATGGCGGTGGTGCGGGTGAGTGCCGTGGAGAATCTCTCTGCCAAGCTCTTCGTGCAGTGCTCCAGGCAGCCGGGGCTCGTGGACGTGTACTGCAAGGTGCTGGACCACACTGGTGCGTTGGGATATACCGGGATTACATAGATCGAGGGGAGCTGCGTGGCTCCAACACGGGGGTGCTGGACCACACTGGTGGGTGCAGGTGGGCGGGTACCACACAGGTTATAGGGCATAGGGCAGGGTGTGAAGGGGAGTGCTCTTCGTGCAGTGCTCCAGGCAGCCGGGGCTCGTTGATGTCCACTGCAAGCTGCTGGACCACACTGGTGGGTGGGGAATGAGAGGGCAGAGAGCAGGATAGGAGCCAGGCCAGGGTAAAGGGCACTACAAACTGCCCTCCTCCCTGCCTCCTCCCCTCTCATACCCGTGTATTTTGCCTTTCCCACTCTCCTCTCCTCTCTCACCTGCCTTCACGGTCCACTTCGCCTTCCCTCTCCCTCATCCCCCTTCTCCCCCCCAGACGAGGTGATCAACGTGAGAAACTTTCCTTCGCTTGCCAGCCAGCCTGCCCTACGGCCTTGTTTTGAGACGTCTCGAAAAATCACCTCTTCTCTCACCCGCCTCCCCTCTGCCCCCCAGACGAGGTAATCAACGTGAGAAGCCTCCCCTCACTTGCCGGCCTGCCGTACGGCCTTGTTTTGAGACGTCTCAAAACATCACCTCTTCTCTCACCCGCCTCCCCTCTGCCCCCCAGACGAGGTGATCAACGTGAGGAGCTTTCCTTCGCTTGCCGGCCTGTCCTACAGCCTTGTGCGCAGGGGCTTCCCCTCAATCGCCGGCCTGCCTCCACTGTCCGCTTCACCTCCTCTCTCTCCCGCCTCGCCTCCCCTCTGCCCCCCAGACGAGGTCATCAACGTGAGAAGCTTCCCCTCACTTGCCGGCCTGCCCTACGGGCTCGTGCGCAGGGGATTCCCAGAGGTGAGTCATGCTCCTCTTCATGCTCCTCTTCATGCTCCTCTTCATGCTGGTGTGTTTGTTTCACATTGTGCAGACAGCAAGGTGCAGCACGGTCACCTGTATTGACCTGCCATACCACCATCCCCATCCCCTGCCTCCCACCTACCGAACCTTCACCTGAGCAGGCGGTGTGCTGCGGCATAGTGAGGGATGGCAAGGTGCCTGTATATACCTACCCTAGAAACAGTTTCCTCCCTCTCTTCCTCCCACCTCCACCCTCATTCCCCAATCCATCCGTGCTCGCGCAGTCGGTGTGTTATGGCATAATGAGGGACGGCAAGGTGCAGCGCTGTATGGCGCCTGTATAGACCTGCCCTAGAAACACTTTCCTCCCTCTCTTCCGCCCACCTCCATCCCCATCCGTGCACGCACAGGCAGTGTGCTGCGGCTTAGTGAGGGACGGCAAGGTGCAGTTCCACCCCAAGGACTCCGAGCCGGTGCAACGCACCGATAAGGTGTGATGAGCGGTGGGATGCGGTCAGTGGGCTATCAGAACCTGAGCTGAAAATATTGATTAGGTAACCGAGTTATAGGGTCTGAAGTACTTCAAATCAATAATGGGCTTAGTGGCGGTGTGTGTGCTTGAGAGGTACCAGCATCATCCTTCCTCCTTATTGTAGTAGTATCCCACTAGATGATGCTGGTAGCTCTCAAGCACACACACCGCCACCCTCCCTCCGGTGCTAATGCTGCAGGACAGGTCAGACAGATGCAGGAGAGCAGCCGAGGAGGGGGGGGGGGGCACAGTTCTCACTCTCCCTCTTCCCCCTCCCTTCCCCTCCACATCCCACCACCAGTTGATGCTGATAGCGCTGAAGCACACGCACTGCCACCCCCCGCCAGCGCTCATGATGCAAGCAGCACAGACCAGGCAGAAGCAGGAGAACAGCCCAGTGGGAGGGAGATCTCTTTCCCTCCCTCTCCAGCGATTCTCTCCCTCTCACTCCTCCCTTCCCTTTCCGTCCCCCTCCCTTCCCCCCCACATCCCACCACCAGCTGATGCTGATAGCGCTGAAGCACACTCATCGCTACCCCCCTCCAGCACTCATGATGCAAGCAGCACAGATCCGGCAGAAGCAGGAGAGCAGCCGGGGGGGGCGGGAGGGGCGCGGGGGCGGTTCGAGTGAGGGGATGGTGCGGGTGCACAGGGACTCGGCGCTAAAGACAAGAGATGCCGGCCAGTTCAAGGTGAGGAGAGGAGGGTGTGGTGGTGGTCTGACGAGGTGAGGCTGTGCAGTGATGGTGTCAGCTTTCAGCCTGCTGCTACTGCTTCTGTATGCTGCCGTCTCACCAGTAACCCACCTGTAACCCACCAGTAACCCACCTGTAACCCACCTGTAGCCCACCTGTAACTCACATGTAACCGGCCTGCATGTGACCTGCAACGCACGAGCTCATGTGTGACCCCAACTCCACGCACCCTTCTTACCCTTCCCCAGCCCAACGAGCCGGCAGCGAGGGCGGAGCGAATGGTGATGCTGGGGTGGAGGACAGGCGTGCCGGACATGATTCGAGAGTTTGACGACTATGTGGGGCCGGGCAGAGTGTGTTGATTCGTGTGCTCTCCCATGCACTCCTGTGTCCCCAACCATCCAACCGCGCCAATACCCCTCTCGCCTCCCACAGCCAAACGAGCCGGCGGCACGAGCGGAGCGCATGGTGATGCTTGGATGGAGGACGGGTGTGCCGGACATGATCCGCGAGTTTGACGACTACCTGGGGCCGGGCAGCGAGTTGGTCATTCTGGCGGAGGAGAGCCTGGAGGAGAGGGAGAGGCAGCTCGCCCGCATGCTGCGCACACCCCTCCGAAACCTGACCGTCGTGCACAAGGTGAGAACTCCGTGGGGCTGGGCAGCGAGCTGGTCATTCTGGCAGAGGAGAGCCTGGAGGAGAGGGAGAGGCAGCTCGTCAGGATGCTCAGGACACCCCTCAGGAATCTGACTGTCGTGCATAAGGTGGGTAGCGCCATACCGGCATGAGCACGGGGGTGGGGATATGTGTGAGCAGCGGGCAGCGAGTTGGTCATCCTGGCGGAGGGGAGCTTTGAGGAGCGCGAGAGGCAGCTTGCAAGGATGCTGCGCACGCCCCTCAGGAATCTTACAGTGGTGCACAAGGTGCGTGCTGCCGTGCTGGCATGCGCACATGTATGTGTGAGCAGAGGGCACTGAGCTGGTCATTCTGGCCGAGGAGAGCACAGCTGGAGAGGCAGCTCGTCCGCATGCTCAGGACGCCCCTGAGGAATCTTACTGTGGTGCACAAGGTGCGTACTGCCATGAGAGCACAGGTGGTGAGCGCATGGGCGCTGCATGAATGGCCGCGTCAGTTGGTGCATGCATCGCATGGTGCAATCGACCCCACGAGTCGCACCAACGTGATAAGCGTCCAGATGGGGCCTAGGCGCTTTGTGTGGCCCCACCACTCTTCGTTCCCCTCCCTTGCCCTTCCCTCCCTTTCCCTCCCTCTCCCCAGGTGGGCAACCCCATGAGCCGCATGGACCTCACAGACGCCATTCTGGATCCCGGCAGTGTGTTCCACCCCTATGTGTTGTGTCTGCGCCGGGGGGTGTTGAGCTCTCCCATTCGTGTCCGCCCCTCTCCCTTTCTGCACTGCTTCTGCATGTCCTTGTGGGTTGTCCGCCCTCTTCAGGTGGGCAACCCCATGAGTCGCACGGACCTCACAGACGCCATCCTAGACCCCGGCAGTGTGTTCCACCCCTTTGTGTCCGCCGGCGGTGACATGTTCTTTGACAACGTGCCCTTCTCTATCATCGTTGTTTCGGATCGCTCCTGGCATCATGGAGGTGCGTGTGTGTGCATGTGTGTGTGCGCATGTGCATGTGTGTGTGTGTGGTTGTGTGATGGGCTGTTAGGCCTTACCCCGGCAGTGTGTTCCACCCCTTTGTGTCCGCCAGGGGAGACATGTTTTTTGACAACGTGCCCTTCTCCATCATCGTTGTTTCGGATCGCTCCTGGCAACACGGAGGTGTGTTCTAGGCTATTAGGCCCCCTACATGCTTGAATGTCTAGGTGCTTTGTGTTGGCCGGCGGTGACATGTTCTTTGACAACGTGCCCTTCTCCATCATTGTTGTTTCGGATCGCTCCTGGCACCACGGAGGTGCGTGTGCGCGCGCGCGCGCGTGTGTTTGTGTGTGTGTGTGTGTGCGCGCGCGCGTGTGGGTGTGTGATGGGCGCTGGCATCAGCCGCTGCACACATGGAGGTGTGTTGAAGGCCGCTTACCCCCACAGGCCTGGACGCCCTGGCGTCATGTGTCCGCCTGCAGACACATGTTCTTTGACAACGTGCCCTTCTCCATCATTGTCGTCTCCGACCGCTCCTGGCACCATGGAGGTGCGTTCTAGGCTATTAGGCCCCCTACATGCTTGAATGTCTAGGTGCTATGTGTCGGCGGGCGAAGACGTTCTTTGACAACGTGCCCTTCTCCATCATCGTTGTCTCCGACCGCTCTTGGCACCACGGAAGTGCGTGTGTTGTGTGCGTGAGTGCCTTTGATACCAATACTCGAAGCACTATGTGTCAGGTGGGAACCATTTGTTAGTTGGCACCGATTTGTTCACTGGCATGTGTCGGACCCCCTCCCCCCACCGTTCACATGTAGTTTGGGTCTGCTCAAGATACACCATACACTCACGTCCCCAACTGCTCCTTACACTGGGTCCCTTCGCATGCTTCAGTCCATGCCTTAGTCATGCCATGCCTTGTCATCTGATGCATGCATCAATCTTAAGCATGCCCTCATGACTGCCCTTGGATGGGCATTGAAGCATACCCATCCAAGCATCTTCCCTCCAACAACCACGTGCACCATCCCCTCTCCCCTGCCCTCCGCCCTTCTCCCATGCACAAACATTGCTCCCACGTGGGCCTGCACGCCCCTTCAACCCACCACCAGAACTCATCCCATCTCCCCCCTCACCCTTGCCCCTTCACACACCACCAGAGCGCACCAAGCCAGACAAGCAGTCGCTGTACTCGCTGCTGCTCGCGGAGTCAATGCACGCACATGGGTCTGCATCCCCCTTCATCCCAATGCCTCCAACAAACCCATATCACCCCCGCACCCTCCATCACACAAACCACCAGAGCGCACCAAGCCAGACAAGCAGTCGCTGTACTCGCTGCTGCTAGCAGAGTCGGTGTGCCGTGCCAACAAGATCAAGGTGCTTCTTCCGAGTGGGGGTTGCTGTGTGCGAAGGGGGGAATCGTTGCATGCGAAGGGGGGAATCGTTGCATGCGAAGGGGGGCTGGTGGTTGTAAAGGGGGCTCCTGGCGGTTTGCTAGGGGGGTTTGGTGGCTGCAAAGGGGGCCTAGTGGTTTGCGAGGGGGACCTGGCTGCATGCAAAAAAAAGGCTTACAGCGTCACATCCGAAACGGCTCTCATCGCACGCATGACACACTCAACACACTGCTGCTGTGCACTCTCACACTCGCCCACTGTCTCTCGAGTCAACTGGACAGTCCGCTCTTGCTCTCACCCGGTGCCCCCGTCACCCCCTTTGCATCCCACACACACCCCCTTTGCATCCCACACACACCCCCTTTGCATCCCACACACACCCCCTTTGCATCCCACACACACCCCCTTTGCATCCCAAACACACCCCCTTTGCATCCCACACACACCCCCTTTGCATCCCACACAACCCCCCTTTGCATCCCACACACACCCCCTTTGCATCCCAAACACACCCCCTTTGCATCCCACACACACCCCCTTTGCATCCCACACAACCCCCCTTTGCATCCCACACACACCCCCTTTGCATCCCACACACCCACTGCCCCATCCATGCAGGTGCAGTCTTTAAACGCGGAGCTGGAGGACAACCGGCTTGGGCGCGAGGTGGGTGGTGTGCGGTGGGGTGCGGTCTAGGGGGGTAGAAGGATTATTACGCCACTGCCAGCTTGGTATGAGGGTGGTGCAGGGGAGGGGCGTGTGGTGACGGGGGAAACGAGCATGTCGGACCACCTTTCCAGTATAAGCCCCATGTTGCCATCATGCCAGCACGCCATGGCTCCATCCTGACCCACGATAAGCCACCCCTGACATGCCATCACGCCACCATGTCACCATGTTCTCATGCTATAATGCCATCAAACGATCATCATTACCTTATGCCACCAATCATCATGCCATCAATCATCATTACATCATGCCTCTTCTCCCCATACTCCTCCCAGGTGGTGGGCAGCCATCCATCACTCACCTACATCGGCACATCTGACCTCATGCCATCATGCCATCATCATGGCAAATGCTCGCAATTCACATGCCCCCATGCTACCCCCATGCTCCCTCCCCTTGCCCCTCCCAGGTGGTGGGCAGCCATCCATCTCTCACCTACATCGGCACGTCTGACCTCATGGGGCTAGTCACCTCACAAGGTGTGCACTTACAGGGCTAGTCACCTCACTAGTTGTGCACTTGCAGGGCTAGTCACCTCGCAAGGTGTGCACTTACAGGGCTGGTCACCTCACAAGGTGTGCATTTACAGCGCTAGTCACCTCAATACAAGGCTGCGTGCGGTGCAGCGTATGAGCGTGCGGTGCAGCGTGTGAGCGTGCGGTGCAGCGTGTGAGCGTACGGTGCAGCGTGTGAGCGTGCGGTGCAGCGTGTGAGCGTGCGGTGCAGCGAATGAGCGTGCGGTGCAGCGTGTGAGCGCGCGGTGCAGCGTGTGAGCGTGCGGTGCAGCGTACGAGCGTCTGGTGCAGCGTATTTGCGTGTGATGCAGCGTATGAGCGTGATGTGCAGCGCACAAGCGTGCGGTGCAGCGTATGAGCGGGCGGTGCAGCTTATGAGCATGCGGTGCAGCGTATGAGCGTGCGGTGCAGCGCATGAGAGTGTGGTGCATCGCATTAGAGTGCGGTGCAGCGCATGAGAGTGCGGTGCAGCGTGTGATCGGGTGGTGCAGCGTATGAGCGGGCAGTGAGTGGGTGGTGCAGCGTATAAGCGTGCGGTGCAGCGTATGAGCGGGCGGTGCAGCGTATGAGCGGGCGGTGCTGTTGTGATATAGGGTTTAGGGTTTAGAAGTGCCTGTAGCTGTAGCTGTTGTTTGTTATACATTCTGTTGGTGGTGCACCCTTGCTAGTTTGCTATATGTACCTTGTGTGCTATAGTGAACTACGCACATTCTCGATTCTCTCTTGCACAACCAACTCGACACCCGCTTGGCCTAGGCTACTTAGCCTAGGCCCTAAGTTAAACCCGTTTCCTAGCTAAGACGCTATCGTAACATGGTATCAGAGCTAGGTCGTTCCCGACCTAATTTCCTAAGGACCCACCGTTAGCTTTCGCGATGGCGCGTCCCGTCAAGCAGCAAATCGCGGCTCCGTCCGTCCTTCCCCGTCGCTCGCCCGTAGCAAAATCCGTCACGGTAGTCGTGACAGACGCAACGGTCGTGGCGGGAGTGACGGCACTCGTCGACCCGCTGTTTCACGCCGCCGTTTTTCCCCCCCGTCAGCCCCTCGACCCGCCACTGCGTTCCCCGTTGCCCTTCCCCGTCGCGCTGCCTCGTCGCGGCTCCCTGGTGAAACATCGACGGTCGCAGTGGGGGGGGGGGGAGAGGAGAAGGGGAAAGGGGTGGCAGCCGTCACTTGAGCATCAGCGCCAGCCCGCGTTTCGTCCCGTCCCGTTCCGTCCCCGCCCGCCCTCCCGTCGACTTCGCAGCTGCTGTGAAGGGAGTGGCGGGAATGGCGGGAGAAGCTACTGCCCCGCCACTGCACGCTCCAGATCGTACGCGACCCGCTCTTCTCCTCCCTTCCATGCCAACGCCTCACCCTGCACCTCTCTCTTCCCCTCTACCGCTCTCCTCTAATCCCATCTCTCCCTTTCTCCTCCCAATCCCCCCACCCACCTCACCTCTCCCCCTCCCCACAGTGACGGAGAATGTGAATGTGGGCTCAATGCCTTTAGCCCAGAGCTGCGCAACAGCTGGTCTCACAGAGACCTTTGTCAAGGTGTGAGGTGTTCTATCTCTCTCTCCCTCTCTCTCCCCCATCCTCACACCCACCCCCCTCCTCCCAGTCACGGAGTATGCAGAGCTGAACGCCATCTGGACAGAGCTGCTCAACAGCTGGGGGGACGAGATCTGTGTGAAGGTGTAAGGGGAAGCGGGATTTACCAAGATGTGGCTCTCATCCATCCTCCCCTTTTCCGCCCCCACCCACCATAACTTCCCGCAGTCACGGAGCATGCAGAGCTGAACGCCATCTGGACAGAGCTGCTCAACAGCTGGGGAGACGAGATCTATGTGAAGGTGAGGAATGGATGTGACATGTACGTCAACCTGTGTGCGGGCTGAATTTTGAGTCGACTCAAAAGCTGACATGTACGTCAACCTGTGTGCGGGCTAAAGCATGCATGGCCGTGTGTCAGAAATGTTGTACACACTTCCTGGTCATGCATTTCTTGCTCTCTTCGTCCAAGCATGTGGTGCACGGGGAGCACCTCTTCGCATTTGCATCGCACGCATTGGCCATTCCGCGTATCCATGACCGACTCGGCATCCCCCTGTATTGACTGTATTGACTAGATTGAAGTATGTTCTCACTCACACCCGCGCCCCCCACCAGGACGCGTCCCTGTATGTGAGTGCGGGGAAGAGCCGCACGTTCAACGAGCTGGTACTGCACGTCCTTGGGACCAAACTAAATGCGCCCACCCCCACCCCTCCCCCCCACCAGGACGCGTCCCTGTATGTGAGTGCGGGGGAGAGCCGCATGTTCAACGAGCTGGCACTGCTTGTCCTTGGGACCGAACTAATTGTGCCCTCCCCACCCCCATTCCCCCCTTCACCAGGACGCATCCTTGCATGTGAGTCCCGGCGAGAGCCCCACGTTTAATGAGTTGGCAGAGAGGGCGGTGCAGCGGGGGGAGGTGGCCATCGGGTACCGGCGCAGCGACACCACAGTCATCAACCCGTGCCCCCAAGGACGTTCCGCTTTAGTACCCCTCTTCATTGAGTAAAACAATCCACGCATTCAACCCCAACTCCCCCATCCCCACCCCACCCCACCAGGATGCGTCCCTGTATGTGAGTCCAGGGGAGACCCCAACCTTCAACGAGCTGGCAGAGAGGGCGGTGCAGCGGGGGGAGGTGGCGATAGGTTATCGGCGCAGTGACACCACAGTCATCAACCCATGCCCCAAGGACATTCCGCTTGAGTTCGGCCCCGAAGACAGCCTCGTGCTCATTTCTGAATATGGCTAATTTATTTGTAGGAGTTTTGGGTCCTGATGCAGCGTGTTTAGGTTTGGATGGAACGCATCACTTTGTACTTTCCCATTTTTTTACCTGAGTTATCTGTTGGCAAAACATGTAATGCAAATAATTTGTTTGTAACATGTTGCGAGGTGTTTAGGCTGGCATTTCCTTGCCTTCGCTAGTTTCGCAAACCCCTCTACCCCGCGCCCCACTCCTCTTCCCCAACTTCACACTTCGCTCCACACCCTACCCCCTTGATGACAGTCCATCCCTGCCCGTCCCTCCTGCTGGCCCGTCCGTCCCGCTGGCCCATCGATACTCGAACGCCTAATCGGTAGTACCGATCCCCGTTATAAGTAGGGTTGCTTCTCCCAACCATCGAACCAACGTATCTTGTTGACCAAAAAGCACACGGTTACAGTCGACGCTGGTTAGCAGCTGATAGATTGAGGGAGCAGGGCAGCAGACGGGCCGAGCGAGGGCGAAAGCTAGCCGGGGGGGAGGAGATAACGCGCGAGTGTGAGAAATTGCAAGAGCCGACAGTGAAGTACACGGGGGAGCAGAACAAGCAGCGCCAACATGCCGAAATCGAAACGCAATCGATTGGGTACGCACGATAGGTTGCCGCATTTATCCGGATTTCCTTGTTTTTGTTTAAGGGTGGGTCATCGCTGTTTTCGGCATGCTCGTCTAATCGCGTCCTCCTCTTACAGCGTTTTGTTTTCAGAATCTCCACGTGCGCTGCGCAACTGCGCGCCGAGTTCTCCACTCTCTCTCCTCCTCCCGCGCGCCTCCCCATTCTGGTCCGGCCGTTGCAGTGACTCTATCGTCCCTCCCTCGCACCGTCCCCCTCTCCCGTCCCATGCCCCGCTCGCAGTGACTCTATCGCGCGTGACAAAGAAGGGGCGCGAGCAGAAGGAGTCGCTAGTGGAGGCAGTGCGAGCGGCGGTGGAGGAGTATTCAGACGTGTATGTCTTTGAGTTCGATAACATGCGCAACACCAAACTCAAGGAGCTCAGGGACGAGCTGAAAGGAGTCTGCCGGTAAGTCATGATCACCTTAAACCCCGGACTTCTTAAACCCTTAATCGTTAAACCTTGAGAGGGCAATGGATGAGCAGCGGTGGAGGGTCATTCGGAGGTGTACGTGCTCGAGTTCGATAACATGCGCAACACCAAACTCAAGGAGCTCAGGGACGAGCTCAAGGGCGTCTGCAGGTAAGCCACGAGCACCCTAAACCTCGGAGCCTTAAACCCTGAATCGCTGAACCCTGAACGGCCAGTGCCTGCGCAGCGGTGACGGAGAAGTCAAATGTGTTCGTGTTGGAGTTCGACAACATGCGCAACACCACACTCAAGGAGCTCCGAGACGAGGATAAGGGTGTTTGCAGGTAAGGCACCCGCGCTAAATCCCGGAGTCTTAAACCCTGCATCGTTAAACCCTGACCGGGCAGTGGATGAGCGGCGGTGGGGGAGTATTCGCCCCCCTGATTTTTGTTTCCCTGCTCCTCCCCGCCCTCCTCCACCCCCAGTTGCCTGCAGGTGGCATTAATTCGCTCATTCCCGATCCTCCCTCCCCTCTCCCCCCCTTCCCCTCTCTTTTGCTCCTCCCCTCCCACCCCTTGTTCCCCCCTTCTCCGTTACCTCCTTCCCCTCCGCCTCCCTCTTCAGGTTCTTCCTGGGGGCGAACAAGGTGCTGCAGGTGGCGCTGGGGAGGGACAAGGCCACGGAGCAGAGGGAGGGGCTGCACCGGTGCAGTGAGGTGAGGAGGAGGGGGGAGGGGTGCTGTGCGGTGACGGGGAGTGGAACCTAGAGGTGGGTTGGAGGAAAGTGTGGATGGAGTGTGACGGAGCAGAGAGAGGGATTGCACTCGTGCAGCGAGGTGAGGGGGGAGGGAGGGAGGGGTGACGACGGTGCTGTGCGATTATGAGGAGTGACGATAACGGGTGGCGGAGCAGAGGATGGGGGACACCACCGGTGAAGTGTGGAGAGTGAGGGAACTTGTGAATAGATGCAGTGCGATGGAGATGGATCGAAGGTTAAGAATGGGTTTTCAAGTGTGGACAACTTGCAGTATATCCCCTTTAATCAGCCCCGTTCATGCCTTCAAGTGTGCTTTCAAGTGTCTGCATCTGCCGTATCTCCTCTTCTCCCAACTGTTTCTACACCCACGTTTTCGTACCTTTTTACCGTCACCCTCCATCCCTCATCCCCCACTGTCTCTTAACACCCTCCCTCTCTCTCATTCCGTCTTTCTCTCCTTTTATTTCTCTCTCTTTATCTTTTTATGCGCGCTACGTCAGCTGATAGAGGGCCACCGAGGCCTGCTCTTCACATCGCTGCCCAAGGAGCAGGTGGAGAAGTGCGTTGGGGGTGGGGGGAAAAGGGGGGGGTAGGGATGGGGGGAAAGGGAGTGGGGAAAGTGAGGGGGAAAGGAAAAGTGGAAAGGAAATGGGGACAGGGGAGGGAAAAAGGGGAGAGAGTGAGGGCCACCGAGGACTGCTCTTCACGTCGCTGCCCACGGAGCAGGTGGAGAAGTGCGTTGGGAAGGGGGGGGGGGGGGAATGGGGAGGGAAGGGGGGAAGGAAAGGGGTGATGAGGAGTGGGGAAAGGGTGAGGGTCATCGAGGGCTCCTCTTCACATCGCTGCCCAAGGAGCAGGTGGAGAAGTGCGTTGGGGGGGGGAGATGGGGAGGGATGCAGGGAAAGGAAAGGGGATAAGAGAGGGGGAAAAGGGAGAGAGTGAAGGCCACCGAGGGCTTCTCTTCACATCGCTGCCCAATGTGCAGGTGGTGGAGAAGTGCGTTGAGGGGGGAAGTGAGGCGCCTGAAGAAGTGGGTGGGAGGGAGAGGGGGCTATAAGCTAGTGAGGGGGGTGAGGGAGGAAAAGGAGGGGGGAGGAAGGGGTTTGGAATTGTTACTGAGCTTGTGCTACACATGTTGATTCATCCCCCCTCTCCACCTCTGATAACCGCCATCTCTCCTCCTTCCACCCCTCTTCACCACCCCCCTGCAACCTGGCAAGCACTTCAATGAGCTGGCCTGGCATAGCTGGACTTTGCACGCACGGCCAGCATAGCATAGCATAGCATTGCCACCAGCACTCTCATCTCATCATCACCCTCCTCCCTCTCTCTCATCTCATCTCCGCACTCCCTGTCTCTCCTCTAATTTCACCCAATCATTGCCCCGCTATGCGCCAGGCGATTCAACGAGCTGGCAGAACCAGATTTCGCGCGCACGGGCAGCATCGCCACCAGCACAGTGGAGCTCCCTGAGGGTTCGCTGACCCAGTTCGGCCATGACATGGAGCCGTTCCTCAGGAAGCAGGGCATGCCCGTGCGCCTAAATAGAGGTGAGTGGTGTGTGTGTGGCAGTCTTTGCATCTCACGCGCCTTGGTCCACGCGCGCGCCTTGGTCATGTGGGGCAGGAGTTGTAGGACATGTGGGGCAGGAGTTGCTGGTTGGAAACCCTAGAATGGAGTTTCCAAAGGAGAATTGTGGTGAAGTACTAGGGGATGGACTGGGTTGAGTAGTTTCGAAGGGGTGGAGGGTGATTTGGGTGGTGGTTTGGTTGGGGCCTGTTTTGGGGCCTCAAAATGTCGAGTTCAATTTGGCGGTTCGCGTTTTGAGCGCGGAAATTCGATTTCGATTCTTTTTTTTCTTTCAAAATCGGGCTGCCCGAATTTTTTTTACCAGTAGTGTCAAGCGTCAATACGGATTGACGCGTCAAGGGTCAAAGTCAAATCCATCATAGCACTGAAGGCCAACCACTGTCCCCCTCCGCATCCCCTCTATGTCACCCGCACTGTGACTATACCAGGAGTGATTGATCTGGTGGCTGACTTTACAGTGTGCACTGAGGGCCAACCACTCTCTCCCGAAGCTGCAACCATTTTGGTACGCCTCCCAATCCCACACCACCATTGTGGTACGCCTCTCTCTCCCACACCACCATTCCCTGCACATTTCCATCCAGCATTGCTAATAAGTTTTTCACCTTCCATTGACCCTGCTCGCTATCGTGTTAGAGTTGGCCGCGCATCTTCCATCCGGTCGCTGCTTCCTTGCTGGTTCGCTCATTTCTTTGCACGCCATCAATATCCTTGATGTGTTCGTTCATGTGTTCTTCCCGTGTCTTGCTCTCAGCGGTCATTGGGAGAAAGGTTGGCAGTCTTTCGGCTGCATCTGCTAGCGTGATGGACGGACGGTTCCTTTTCGTGCCAACGTGTTTCCTAATCTCTCACCTCAATTGCCCATTTCCTCCCAACGCCTCTTTTCTCTGTTTATCCAGCGGCTATTGGGAGAGAAGATGGCGGTCTTTCGGCTGCATCTGCTGCCGCGCTGGACGGACCGCTCCTATTCATGTCAACTTGTCTCCTGTTTTCCACCTTATGTTTCCATCCCTATCCGTCCTTCCGTTATCTGCTTGTCCAGCGGTTATTGGGAGAAAAAATGGCAGTCTTTCGGCTGCATCTGCTGGCGCGCTGGACGGACGGCTCCTTTGAGCTGCTGCCAGCTGGCGTGGAGGCAGCCAAGGCGGGCAGTGGGAAGGGCAGCAAGGGAGGGTTTGTGGAGGGGTTTGTGGAGTCTGATGAGGAGGGGAGTGAGGAGGAGGAAGGGGAGGAGGAAGGGGGTGGTGAGGAAGAGGCTGCTGCTTAGTGGTTAATGTATGTATTATGGTGGCACAAAAAATGCATGTTATCACAAGGTAGTTCAGGTGTTTTCATGTGAAAATATTGAAACATTAATATGCTTAGTGTCCTTTTCTTTATGAACAAGCATCCTTTCTGTGCAAATGCATGTACTGGAACCTTATACTTCGCGGGATTCCCTATGGGCGTCAATTGTGGCTAGCAGCCCTGAACACAAATCGAGCCGTCGATTTGAATCGCTCCGTTTCATTCCCCCAATGCTCGCCTTCGATCATACGCTCGAGTATTTCCCTTGAACAACACGGATAACAGCTTTCGACTTCGGCGACTCACGCTCTCGACTTACAGGCCTGCAGGTCTGCAGTAGGTCTGCAGAACCAGCCAGCCACTTTCCTAACCTACACTTAGAGCGTATTCCTATCCTCGTATCAAGAAAACCTCATATCAAGATTGTACTTTTTGCCTGGTAAAAGTAGCGAGAGGTTTTGGGTTTAGGGAAATTTTCAGTGGGAGGTTGATATGAGGTTTTCTTGATACGAGGATAAGAATACGCTCTTAGGGTACATTCCTGTGGGGACACTTGTGTCTCAATCCCCGTTTTCCCGAGTCGCGCCTGTAAATTTGCCAAATGTTGTGTCACAAACAACCAATGTATCGCGACCCTGCGCGACAGATGGGCACAGCCAGGTGGGTGCGTACTATTGGTTGCGACCAATAGGATTGTGCCCACCCAGTTTTCCCGCCGGGCAGGGGGGCTAAACATATATGAGAAATTTTTTGTAACAAAAAATTTTACAGATTGTGGTTCGACTTGAAGAGGGGTTTGCTGTAAAGGAGACATTCTCCTTTACCTTTCGGCAGGTCCTCGGGACCTACCACCTAGTCTCATTTGCAGTTTTCACTTCTCTAGTTCCCACCCTCCTCTCCCTTATACACTGGATCGCTTGTGCGTATCTTGTTCCCGTTTAGAACACCATATGTATTCCATATTATCGAGTGTGCTGTATACTTGAGATGTGAAATACCTATGACGACTGCACTGCACACTCCTCTGAAAGTCGTGTCACAATCGCACCACCTCGAGTATCGCGGTGGGCTTGCCACAGAAATGAAAGTTGCAATTTGGGCCACCCCACACACAACAGCATGTATACAACCAGTCATATGTCAGCCCGGGCAGAGCGGTTTCCATCCCCGCGCGGAAACGTGCCCAGTTCGGGCGTCCAGGTGCATGCTGTACAGTGTGAGATTTCGACACGCGTGCGATTTTCGGGATGTGACGGGGCCTCGTGTAACTCGTCCGCGACACAAGCGCAATTCACGCCAACCAATGTAAAATACAGTGGGACTCGCATAAGCGCGATCCGCTTTTGTGACAGGGCATGGTATATGCTGTTTTTAGATGTTGATTGAGACACAAGTGTCCCCGCAGGAATGTACCCTTAACACCTTCAGGGTTGCTTTCGGTCCACGTGTGTGTGCCTTTCACCCGTCCCTCATGCTGCAATCTCGCACCTGTTGCCTTCCATACGCCATGGATCCGCCTTTTGCAATCCAGCATCCTTCAAGGCTATTCTTCTTCAGGCTCGAAGCTGACTGTGATTTATAGCACGTGGAACTATATTGTACAATCTACGAAACGGGAACTCAGGGCTGCCAGCTTATCTCTTGGCTTCCATCCATTTTACCGAAACAAGAGAAGAAACGATGGAGAGCGAACAAATCACGATTCTCTTACCGCCGAAACCGGAAGCCGGGACTTACATACTCGATGGGCAATCCGGATCTTCTCTGACTGCAGCAGCAGACAACCAGCTCGCGAAGCCACGGCGAAGCAGCCCGGCGTCGCACCGATTCACTCCGCGATTTCTCGTGGGGCGAGTGCTGGGCGAAGGAGCGTACGGCGTAGTGGAGATTTGCCACGAAAGGCGCCCTTGGAACTCGCCACGTGGCAGCCCGAAGGTACACCTGTCCCCAGCACCCGGTCAGGAGTGCGCGAAGACCACAATTTGCCGTTTCGCTAATGGCGACGTCCACGCAGACGAAAGTGGCGACGTTGGCGAAGCTTTCGCTTGCAAGACCGTGGAACGATCGGGAAACAGCGAGGAGGCGTGGAAGGCGAAAGCGACAGCTTTAAGAAGAGAAGGCAAAGTCATGCGACACCTAGGGAAACACCCGAATATCGTAGATTTGAAAGGCGTGTACGACAGCAACGACCGCGTGCGACTGGTGATGGAGCTGTGCGACCGTGGCGACTTGCTCTCACTACTGTTGAGCAGGACGAAGAATCTCATTCAATCCGTGGAACAGCAGCAGAAGCCGAAACGCCGGACATCCGAGTCGTCTTGGCCGTCACTGAAGAAACTATCTTCGTTATGCAGATCAAGCTTTAGAAACAGAACTGGTGAACGACCAACTGGTCTTCCTGAACACCTGGCGGCTGGCATCTTTTGGCAGCTAGTGACAGCCGTGCAGCATTGCCACTCGCAGCGAGTTGTCCATCGCGACATCAAGCTGGAAAACGTGCTGCTGACGTCAGCTTCTCCGTTTTCCAAGCCCTCCGGAACAGACACGTGTCCTTTTACAGTGAAGCTGGCGGATTTCGGCACAGCAACTATCCTCAAACCCGGCATAGATTTTACGATGGGAAATGTCGGGAGCACTGCGTATAAAGCACCTGAAGTCTCTCAAGACAGCTATCACGGCACCCCGGCTGATGTTTACAGCCTCGGGGTTGTCCTGTATGCGCTCCTAACCTCCACATTCCCGAATTCCGATGCAAGCAAAGGCACGGTGACACGCGGGAATCCACAAGACTTCATTGATAATGAGTTGACAGTGCATCTTTCATCAGGTGTCAAGCAGTTGATTGCTGCAATGCTTGCCGTGGATCCCGCGAAAAGACCCACATGTTCACAGGTGCTGGAGCATCCATGGGTGCTTACGGGCAGAGGAGGTTGCTGGTGATGTGTCAAGAATGTGTACAAAGCAATTCTGTTGCTTGCAGGCATACAGCAGCTGGATTGCTTGGTAAAGGTTCAACAGTGAAAGTCGTACGATAGTTTGACGCTCGTGCATGTCCAATTCTGTTGGGTCTGCATCACCAGGATTATCTTGCTCCTGCTGCAATGTATGGTCCAAAAATCTGCGATGTCTGATCGTTCTTCTGGGAGATTATTGAGGACCCATATTGAGGACAAACTGTAGACTTCAGGAAGACTGTCGGTAACTAGCCAATGTTTTCATGATGCTGTTTATGAAGAACCCAGTGATCCCAGTTCTACTGGGTGGAGCGGACACAACTAGGGACGAAACAGAACAAGCTGGTTGTAAGATATGTTTCTTCGTCCAAGGTGGTAAGGGCTCACCTTGGTACTCCAAAGAGCATGCCCAGTTGATACTACATTTCATCAGAGAGATCCCAACTAGGGCACCTGGCATGCTGAGCCCACCTAGCTGTCCATGCAGATTCAAATCATTTGCCCTACAAGCAAACAATAATCCTCCCAGACGAAAAAAAACAAAGAGCAAGCGAACCATACAGCACGCCTCCAGCTCGAGTGGTGCGCCCTAACGGTTTTCACACCCCAAGCTGTTCATACATGAATGCCTATTGACAAACAGCAGATACCGCTGGAACTCTTGCAGAAAGCCGTGTAGACTGTAAACTACAGTTGTACATTTCTAAGGTAACTTGGGAATGGATGCTCCGTGGTCAATACTCCATTGACGGCAATTTCCCTCCTTTAGCCAAAATCTTGCGTTCCAGCTGGAAGGAGATGAAGAGAGGTGGAGGTTGAGCAGGCACAGTACAAGCACAACGTTCATGGAAGGCTCGAATGATACTAAACAATGGGGAATAATAGTGATGGAATGGATTGAAACTGAGCAGCAGCAAGATAAGCAGGGAAGAGGTGTGACAACGATAACGCACATGACAGTAATTGAGGAACACATGACGTGAGGAGACAAGATTAGGTCCATTTGGAACAACTGGACACCTTATTACACCCCTCATCAATCCAGTGCACAGAAGGGCCACAGTAGCACAGTTCACCTTCCCCCCTCGCCCCCCCACTCTCCCTCCCCTTCCCCTCAATAAGTTACGACTGGATGTATGCATTAGTATTTCGTCCCCCCCCCAAAAAGGATAGCACATATGGACGGTTCATGATGGGATGACGAGTGCTGAGGACGGTTAAACAAAACACGCAGCTGAGAGGGGGGCACTAAGAAGGGACTTCAAGAGTAACAAGAGTGCGTACGGATGAAAACAAAAGACAGACATGAGATGCGTGCACCTTGGTAACAAGACTGGCATGTGCAGAATACCATACAGACACGAGACAGCAGCATGCAAAGTGAGACTACACTGCAGCCCCTGGAACAGGCACGTTACTGTGTAAACTGGTTCCCTGCACTTCGTGCACCCCTCACACACAACCGCAGTTTGCACGCCTTGACCGAACACAAGACACCCAAGGCAGTTCAGTTCATGACTTCTTCATGTAAACAAGGAAACAGACGAGGGGCAGGCACAGCTGGCGCTATGTCTACGACAATGGAGACAAGAGGGCACGGAAGGGCCATGATCAGTGGATATAAGTGACGGGAACATGAGAAGACTTACCGACATCATGAGCTCCAGCTTATCCTTCACAAGATTGAATTCGTCCTTGATCTTGTCTAGCGAGCTCAAGCACCTGCATCATAAAGTCGACGATGTGACGGAATTATTGTCATCCGTGAAGTTTAATCCTTATGCAGCCCCAAACGAAACTACCCCAAATAATACATACTTCGCGCGGTTTCCTTCGTCGCAATACCCTCTCATCTTGATGCATAATGCCTTCACTCGTTGTGCCCCAATGCTGCTCACGGACCAGATCTCATTATTACGCCATGAAATCAGGGCAGAACCTTCGGGCAAAAACGCGCGTAACAACTTACCTCGAACTACTACCCTTGAACTGGTGAACATGTGCATCCACTTTCTTGAAGTCAATTGGATCTTCGTTGCTGCGGTCACAGGCGGGTATAAAATGAAAGAAAAAAATCTTGCCGATAAGACTAGTTGGCATGTCGACGTTATTCCGGGACGTTATTCTGGTAGGGGAAAAAAAATCATGTTTGCGCATGCTGAAAGGAAAAGGACGGCTTTTCACTCACACTTCTTGAGTGAGGTCGTCAAGCAGCTTTACGGAGTCTTCAAAAAACAGCCCGATGACCTCTCCGACGAACTCCGGATTGCTCTCGTCTTGCAATTGCTGAAGTTGGGTAAACTGATCATCGAGTATACCCTGGATGCATCAAAACATTGTGAGGAAAACACAAAAATGGCACTTGCTGTACTACTGAGCGTCGAGTCGCTTGCGATGAATGATTATTCCGAACCGAAGGAACTCGAAACGCTGAAAAACTCGTCATTAAGGACACCCTATTTTGTGCGCTCGCCTGGGAGCAAACCCTCGTCAACATTCATGGTCAGTAACACAAAGCCGTAAACAAATATGCTGTCTATCTTACCTCAGCAAACATGCTGTCTGTAAGCTCTGTCAACTGCTTCGTTAATTTGGCGATTTCATCTTCCTTCGATGCCTTTTTGCTTCTGCGATACATGGTCGAAACCCTACAGCACCAACTACAACAAGCTCCCACCGATCAACTCCTCCCTAACTCGCGATGAAAAATGCAGCCTTCTATTCAACGTGATCCACGGCCAAATGACGAAGTCCTCCTTTTCGAAGTTACGAATGTGCATGTGCTGATGTCGAGCTGCAATGATAGTGTCGAAGTTCAGAGAACATCCGCCATTGATGAGAGGTAGGTGACTAGAAAGCAACCAGCAGTTTTCGCGGAGTGGGGGGAGAAGCGGAGTGAAGGATGATGCGCAGGACCAACATGAGCAGCTCAGGGATGCCACGCTGGACTTTGCGAAGGTATGTTACCACAAGACGAACTTGCCTCTCAAATTTGCTCCGAGTTTCCTCCGCGCACGCAACGTTTGCAGTAGTTCAGCATCAACCCAAGTTGGACTGCTCTGATGCACCTCAGCCACACATTCATCGATACATAAGTTCCGTTTTATAACATTATACTTGTACAGTAATGCCATACGTTTGTTAGTAGGGAAAACAAATCCTTGAACCTCTCTCTGGCCTGCCATATAGAACTTTCAAATAATCTATATGCAACCACACCTAGCTTAACTGTTGGGAACGACAGACACTAAAAAATGCATCAAACACAGCCGGTGATAAATGCAGTCCACTGTGCGGAACTAACCATACTAACCGGATGCTCCACCACTCCTATCAGCTCCTCCAGTTCCTGGCTTTCTTCTTCGTCTTTCCTTGAACTTCGCCCATAACCATGTACCGATCAAATAGGCACCTAAAACATAAACCTGTGTAGGCCACCCAACGACAGATGCATGAAATGAAACTACGGTAAGGTATAAAGACTTCAACATGACACAACGGACTTGCCAACATAAATTGTTCACCAGAGACCATCACCTGCCAGCTATGCTATGATACCTTACCTGCCACATGCCACCTTACCTGCCACTTGCCGCCTTTCCTGCCACTTGCCACCTTACCAGCCACTTGTCACCTTACCTGTTACATGGCAGCACCCTGCTTCTCCTCCTCTGGAACAGCGAATCCAACTGACAAGCTCTCTGGTTTCCGCACAGGCATGTGCACTACAGGGGGTCCATTGACTATCTCGGCTTCTGGTAGGGATGCCGACACTGTGAACGATCCAGGCTGCATGGAGGAAAGGGGCCATGGAAAAGAAGAACAGATCTATTGAGTGTCATTGTGAAGCTCTGCTGGAAAGTGAGAACACGGCACAAGGAATAGAAATTGAATACAACTTATGGTGCTAAGCCTCATAGTATGACAATGAGAGAATTGGGAAGAAGAAACGGTGCAAACCCACCTGTTACTTGCCACATGCATGAGATGCTGCTGCATGCCAGTGAAACGCATGAGATGCATGAGATGCTGCAATCATGCCAGAGCAAAACGCACGGACCTGAACGTGAAGAGCTGACTCATGCACCCACCCACTGATGACACCACCAAACGGCAATTCTAATGTCCAAGCACACCTTTGCCACGTGCTTGATTCATCCTAGAAGCAAAATGCTAAGAAAAGCTGCACCTCGGTATTCCCCTGGCGAGGCAATGATTCCTTGCTCGCTCCATTATCTGCAGCAGCCATCGTGGTAGCTTCCCCGCCCTCACAAGCCCAAGCCTGAATGCACGAAAATTGGATAAATCAAGGGGGTAGGAGAGCGGGGCGGGGCTCGCTGTAGGCCTGCGATTTGAGAGAGTACGGTGGCAGTGATCGGTGGGGGGACGGGTGGGTGGGTGTTGGGTGTGGTTACGAGGTGTGTGGCTGTGTGAAGGAGAGGCATGGTGTGCATACCTGTACGCACGTTTGCGTTGTGTGCACCGGCATTCTAAAAGAATGAAGAGTGTTCATCCTATGACACAGTGAGAAAGTACTTTAAGAGACGGGTATTTGAAATTTTCAAAAACAATGCATGCAGTTGATCACACCTGAGTAGTACGTTCACTCAGGACTATCCAGTTTCAAGGTACGTTCACCATCAACTGTCTATCCCATGGGCACACTGGCGAAAAAAAAAAGGAAGGGGGGGAGGGGGAGGGGAGGGGGGGGGGGGGGGGAGAGCGAGGGGGGAGAGGGGGAGGGAGGGTTGGGAGGAGGGGAATTAAAGAGGACGGAGGAGAGGGCAACGTAGTGAAGCACTGGGGCAAGCAAAAAAAAACTACACAGCAGGTTCATCCGAGAAAAGAGGAAGGTGACGAGACAGAGGAAGGAGAAAAACGGCGATCATTGAAAAGGCGGAACCAGCGATCAGAGGAAAGACAGACACGAGGTGCATGCGACTCGGAGACCTGGTCTATCAAACGCGGCGCTAGAAGCCACCGATGATAAACGCGAACATCATGGCCAACGCGGCAACGTCTGCGACAGCTTACGGTCGCGCTTTAAGTGTCCTGAAAACAGGCTGAATAGCGACGGTTGCGTAACTAGGCACCTAAAGAAACACTGCACAGGGCGGATGCATGACTGACCTGGAAAAAGTAGCGAGATCGTGAAAATAAACACAACTGATACTTCACCCAAGCAGCGACAGATGATACTCGTTATTATTCCACATGCTGTAGTGTTTATCGAGAGAGGAGAATCAAAGAAAACTACGAAACCCTCAGTTCATTTCCACCAATCCCGTAATTCTCCCAAGGGTGTGTTCCATTCAGGTGCACAAAACTCCAGTCGTTACCCGACCACAACACAACACCATCATCACTGGTAGTCTCCACTTAAAGAGATACAAGTTACACAAGCTCTAGAATGGCTAAAAATGCCACAGCTGCACAAGCCATGGCTCCTAACCTACAATCATGGAATGCCGTTACAAGATGTACCACCCTATTCTGACCAGCAATGAAATAATTAACTGCCAAAAAGGACTCACATCCCTATCAATCCTAACACTATCACTCCAAGCTCCTAACACTGGGAAGTCGCACTGTGCACCGCTGCAACTGTCCTGTGCTCATAACCAAATCCACTCTGGCAATTATCTTGTTGCTGACAGAACCGGTGCGGCAGGCATGCTTTCAAATACGTCTCCAGCTGTTGCGTGTACAGCTCAGGGAATGTCCGAAAATGGTCCACATGCGGCGAACATTCAAATCGCATCGACATAACCCTGTGGCCCTGTGCCCGCTGCCCGAGGATGAATTTTTCAACAGCGGGCAGGGGAATCACAATGTCTGCTTCACTGTAGAAGTACAGCTGCGGGCAGTTGGGCTGGTGGTGGTGGAGAGTGTTAGTCACCTCACCAAGCTTCCTGGAAGACTCAATTTTAAGGAGGGCAGGGAGGGGTAAAAAGGATAACAGAAAAGCGAGTTACACAAGAATATGGCAAGACTGAGAGACATCAGGAGTTGATCAGATGGCTGGTCACAGCAAGCACACTGACTGACAGACAGACAGATGGATAGATTGACTCACTGACTGAGTGAGTGAACCCACCCTTTGACGTAGGGGATGCGCAGAGCCACTTGGAAGATGAGCCACAGCGCTGTCACCAGCACACTCTCTAGCGCATCCAGCCGCACCTTCACCACCCTCACCACTGCCACTGCCACCCGCCCACACGCCCCCACCACCCGCCCACACGCCTGCACTATGCTGCTCGCCCTGCCTCTCCCCCCTCGCTGCCACCACCGTTGCTGCCGTGTCTGCTGCTGTTGCAAGTGAATGCCACTCCCTTGCTCCTGCTCGTTTCTCAGTTCTTTCCCCAGCACCAGCTTTCTCTCCTGCTTCTCTGCCTGCATCCTGTACACAGCTATCAGCTGCTGCTGCAGCAGCCACTGCTGTTGTTCCTGCTGAGACACCCCTATAAAAGCACACCCGTTACTACCAGCAGCACCACCTCCTGCACCAGAACCAATCCCTTCTCGCATGTCTCTGTCCCCCCCACCACCTGCCGCTGCCACCACAGCAGCAGCAGCACTCCCCCTTGCCTTACTCCCACATGCATTCAATCTCTCAGCCTCATCAGCCCGCCACCACACCAGCTTACACCCACAGGGAGCAGGCGAGGAAAACGCCCCCTCCTCACCACCCAAGCCCCCTTGCCCTTGCCCTTGCCCTTCCCCTTGCCCTTGCCATGACCCCAGCCCCTCCGTTCCTCCCTGCTCCCGCCCCTGATCCGGGTACAGGCTCTCACAGCTGCTGCTGCAGTCACTCCGGGATACAGTCACACTGGTGAACGCTGGAGCAGAGACAGCACCTGCAGCAGATGCCACAGAGGCAGTACCCGCAGCAGCAACACCAGCAGCAGCAGCAGGAATATCACCACCACTACCGCCACCAGCAGAAGAGGAAGCAGCGGGGAGGGTGCTGGCTTGCAGCAGGGCGGATTTGAGCTGTGAGCAACCGACCACCGAGTCAATGACAAGGGAGCCCATGCACGTTGCCGCACTGCGCTTCTGTAAAATGGCCGCTGAGAAACCACTCGCCCACACCTTGAGGTTGGGGAGAAGATATGGCAGGAAAGGAGGGGAGTGGGGGTGTCAGGAAGGGGAGTCAATGACCAGCGAGTCCATGCGCGTTGCTGCACTGCGCTTCTGCAGAATGGCTGCCGAGAATCCGCTCGCCCACACCTTGGGGTTGGGACCACAGACGGTGGGGAAGGGAAGGGAGTGGGGGTGTCAGAAAGGGGAGTCAATGACAAGCGAGCCCCCATGCGCGTGGCTGCACTGCGCTTCTGCAGAGTGGCCGCTGAGAAACCGCTCGCCCACACCTGCGGTCAAGGAGCGTAGGCACAGTGGCGATGTTAAAAGGTTCAGGGAGGAGTCATCGACAACTGGCTGGACTGCGCTTCTGCAGAATGGCCGCTGAGAAGCCGTGTGCGCCCGCACCTTGGGGGGCCCAGATGGTGGGGAGTAGGAAGCGTGGGGGTTTCTTCTTCCTCGCTAGGCGTGGGGGGTTCTTCCAGTTAGGCGCGGAGTCTACGACTGATCTTAACTTCACCATGAATCTTCATCCTCACTATAAAGCCTTCCAATTTCTGGTATAAGAGTTTCCAATCTCACCTTGGGATCTTCTTCCAGTATAGGCGCGGAGTCCACGACGCACCCCTTTATAATCCCATCCACCGCCGCTTTCCCGTACTTGCGCTGCAGTCGCAGCAGCGCCGCGCCGTACGCGATCCATCCCGTGTTGCTGAACGTGTGGAACAGCAACGAGCGACGCCCGCCGCCGCCCAGCCCGCCGTGAATCGCGCCGTGCGTCCCGCCGTGATTCGCACCCTCGAGGAGCCATCTCTCAAGCTCCGTAACCAGATCGTCGACATGCAGCTCCGCCTTTTCGCCTAGCTGCGAAAGGGTAACACGCGAAAGTAGTATTAGCGAAAGCACAACAGAAAGATTAGATACTCTTGCTCACCCTACTGCCAAACTCGTAGGAGTCACTCTTGATACAATCACTCTCGCAACAGTCACTCACCCTGACGCTGAATATGTCGGTGAACGGAATGACGAACCCGATCGCATCGATACCCCTCGCGTTGTACCACGTGGCATACTGCCGCATGTGCCGCTGCTGCGCGCCGAGCCATCCCAGCAGCACCACCGCCGTCCGCCTGTCCCCTTCCGCCCCCGCGCAAGCCGCCGCTTCCCCCCAGTTTCCCACAGATCGCGCTCGTGTTATCGCCCCATTCCCCCCTGGCCACGATGCGGAGGCGTTCCCGCTAAGAGAAAACGGTGTCACTGACGGAACCGACGGAAAAGTATCGGTCTTGACGAAACCAGTCCGCTCACCCCGACCCTGGACGGAAAAGTTAACGGAGCCATCGATCTTCAGCGGGAGTTCCGCTGCTGTAGCGACCATACCAGACGGATAGCTGACTGAGGATTCTGTTTGTCCGTTTGTGGGCCAGTTCGCGGCATTGCTGCTGCAGGGATAATGGACGATCACGCGCGGCTTCTCCTTCTGAGTCTGATTGTCACTCTCACTCTTACTGTCTAAAAGGCTTGCCTTTTCCTGGTTGGATAGAGAGGAGGAAGAGCAGGATGAAGACGAGGGAATGCTGAAGAGCGGCAAACACGGCGGTGATACTCGCGCTTTGGCCATTGGATCGTCCGTCTGTTGCTCCTGCTTCTGCTTCACTCGCTGCAGCTCCTGTTGCTGTTGCTGATTCTGCTTCGCGGTCGCAAGACGTTTCTCTGAATCGCCGCAATCAGCGCCGATCGCGTCGGTTGCGACGGTTGCGACGGCCGCCGTCGCCGCTGCGACGAGCGTCGGCGCGGAGTACGATAAATACAGCAGCACAGGCGTCGCGAACCTGAACGAGATCTCAGGAATGGACCCTGACGTCGAACCACCCGCACTTAAAACGATCGAGAGAACGAGCGAGATCACGACTTGCGCGATCGACGGCGCGCCAAGCGGGCCGGCAACCTCGGTGGCGAGATAAGTGGGTGCTAGCATGCCATTCCATACGACGTGCAACCAGCCGTCACCGAGCGAGCTGGTCAGCGGATGGAGAAGGCCGAGAACGAGGAGGAAAGTGGCGAGGTAGAGCGAGAGCTTGCGACGAATGACGGGGAGAGTGGAAACAACTGTGGCAATGGCGGTCAGAGCTGTTGTCAGCATGGCTGCTGGCGAGGAGAGGTAGGTGTCTGTAGCCTTGGTGTTTCCGGCGCTGGCACGAGGCGTTTGAGAACTCTCCGACCTCGAAGCTACCTTTCACGACGCTGCCGAAGCTGCTAGAATGCCTAGGCAAGCCCCCGCTGCCTAGGTCCTCTGGCACCTCCGCACCTAGCTTTTGAGTGTCGAGTGTTTCCACCAATCCCGTTTCTCCACGCCCTCCCGAAATAGGCTTGTCGCTCAAAATGCAGCCATGAGATTGAACTGAACTGACGCCTTTGGCTGCCGTAGAGAGTCCCTACGACTAAACAAGCTTCGCATGGCGATGCTTTCAACAAGAAGTGGATGGTGGGCTTGGTGTCGGCGGATCCAGGGTTAACTCCTCCCTGCGATTCGGTTTCGCGTGAGCGATAAGCGAACAGTCGCCGTTTCGATCGCCTGTTAGAAGCCCAATCCGCTTCATTGGCAAGCTTTGCGCGAGCGACCTCTTCTTTTCCGTTGTCGCCCAGGGTATAACCCGCACAGAAGTGTCGGCCAAGAGGGTGTGCGTTTCAGACTACAGCCACACCGTGACACCGCCATTTGCTCACTCATGCGACAGAACACCAAGCGTATTCCAGCCCCTGAGGTACCGAAGGACAGCGACTGGCTGAATCGGGTACAAGAACAGTTTCGCCTTAGCGAAGTGCTGATGCAAGGTGTTACACGTACTACGACCTCAAGCACGTTCTCTCGAAGGTTTCCGTGATCTCAAGGCTGCTTGTGATTGGCAAGGGCCCTCTTGCAACAGATTTTTATGACGGTGTGGCGGCTCCCCCAGTACGAATCGCGACCGCGAACGAGGCACACTTGGGACGCCACTCTAACGCGGTCGTAAGTGGTCGCAGAAGGTCGACAGGACGTCTTGAGGGTGGGCTTGGTGGAGGGTGAACCAAGCGTGCGACCTTATCGAGGGCGGCAGGGGATCTCAACGTGAAGTGCTCTTGCAACGAGGTTGAGCCAAACAATCACCTTCGGCACGGAAATTTACAGAAGCAAAAGTCCAATTGGCTGGAAGCAATAATTCGTCGGATTCACCTGGACACGCTGGACTCGTATAAATGTCGTATTGTAAGTAAAATCAATTTTCCTTACTTCGCGTCCCTGCTCAGCGCGTGCACCACTGTTCTGGCCAACAGCACCCCACAATATCCCGTTACCACTCGCGACATTCGCCTCTACCCCATTCCCGCCACTGTTCACGATGCGACCCAACCTCACGGTTCGGTTGGTAACCCGCGATCCGGACCTCCGCCTCGACAGTCCCCCAACCTCGGCACCAGGCGCGTCGCGCACCCCAATTTCGCACGTTACCGTTACCACCATAGCTTCGCTGTATATTCTTCGCTCAATCCTTTCGCTCATTTTATTCTTGCCTCGATAGTGCAATCCTCGCTCAATCACTCAATTACACTCGTAGCACGTATTAAAGGCAAGAACTTTATATTCATTTGAAACAAACATTTGCATTGCAAAAAGGTTATATTCCACAATCGCTGGTGAAATCCAATAATACATCACCACTTACACTCTGTTTTTGTTATAGAAGAGAAATTGGTGTTGATTTCCCTGCTACGTTTTCCTTCTCATTTTCGCCCGCCTTAACCAAGCATACAGTTCAAAGAACAGATACAGCTGGAAACCAAGTTCTGAAGCGGTTTGCTCTATACAGCGCCATGTTGCTCAATACATATTTTTTTCCGCTGATGTATGTCATCAACACCTCACCACGCCCTACCCTAGTCACCTCCATCCCTAACTCCGTCATCCCAAAACAAACCATCACGCCTTCCCCCCATCCTCGTCCCTCCCATCATCACTTGTCAAATTTCATCCCCCCCTTTTCTGCTTGCACTCACTCACAGCCGCACACTGAAGCTGCTTTTGTTCTGGATGATTGGGAGCTTGTACGAGCATGCTAGGAAAATCGGCTTACCCATATTCGACAGATTAAAAGGGTCAGAGTCCCTTCCTTCGCCGTAGTGTTGTCGAGTCAGTGGGCATTTCGAATCGCGGCTCTTTTCATCCAGACTCCCTTGTCCGATTCGCGCAACGCTATTGCTCTCAGTTTCACGATAACGGCATCTAGGCAGTCATTCTTCTGAAACGCGTTTGAGCGGCATCCATATTGTAACAATGTACCAGCAGTTGTTACACAATCTCGCGTCGGCTCTCGGCATGGAGCCACCGCATGCAACCACCATAAACCCGACAGGTCCCGCTCACCTATTAAACTGGGACTTCGAAGTCATTTTTGGCTCCAAAAGTTTCCGCGGGCGGCCTGAAGCTTGCCAGATCATCGCCCGGGACAGAATGCATGGGGGTGAGCACCTGCCACTCGGCTTTAAGAAGAAGGATGCGCAATTACTGGCCTACCGAGCAGCGTTTCGGAATGCGTTATTGGGAAAAGTTTCCTGTCCTGGCGCGCATCCGCCTGCGGACGCCGACCGCGTAGCAGAGCTGGCGAAGGAAATCGCGAAAGCGGAGGCGAAAGTCTTGTTACAAGTCGACTGCAGCCGCATGTTGCAAGGCATGCCCGCCTACACGACAGCCGGCTATGGACCATCACATTGCCCCTCGTTCACGACCACCGTTGAGTTACCTAACGATTGGGGTAGTTACACCGGCAATTCCTGCCCGACGAAAGGCCTCGCTGAAAAAGACGCAGCTTTCGCTGCCTGGTGGGGATTTTTCATTGTGGGGCCGTTCGTGCAAGGCGGAGAGGACGGCACTCTTAATGTGGTGGATCTGACAGAAGGGAAGCTCGAAAATGGGGAGGAGGAAGATGCAGCAGCAGCACACGCGCTTGGTGCATTGTCAGGACCTTCGGGAGGGGTTATGGCGCAGGTAGTGAAGCAGGAAGGATGAGGAGAGTCTTAAGATCAGCAGGAAGCGGATAAGGTATGTTGTAGACCGAGGTGCTGCTGCGGCTGATGCTGCTGCTGGTGCTGCTGTTGAAGGTGCTGTGGCTGCGGCTCTTCAGGTTCAGGGGGAAGGACGGAGCACTACGCAGCCTAGCCGCAGAAGGTAAATTCAGATTATGTACGAGATGTCAGCAGGGAGTTGAATGAAAGACTGCAGCAGTTGGGGACATTGTGCTGTGCCACTGTACAGGAACAGCACTGTTTAGATTTGTAAGGCCGTCGTTCAACAGACTGTGATGACTCAGAATTTCTTTTTTTCCTGTACTGTTGACGCATGGTGGTACCGTATGTGAGGTCGTCGTGGGTGAGTTTGGCTTGCATACATTTTATCTACGCTGCAGGGTGATGGCTAAATTGTAGAAAATAGGGGCATAGATGGGTGGCTGTGGTAGCCTCCAGTGCCTTCCTCACCTGACTCTGTCACTTTATGCACTCCTTGTGGGTAGAGTTTAGTTACAGCAGAATGAGAGTACTGCAGTACTTGATAGCGATGTCTGCTCAAGCATGCTCCCCCAAAGATGATGGAAGTTGAGCTTGCTAAGAACAACTTGTTGCCATGGTTATTTCTGTTGGATGTAGCACATTCGTTCTGCAAGATTTGAAAAGCAACGTGTAGCATTTTCCGCGTTTAAAGAATTGAGCCAGGTCAGAACGCCCACACCAGCCGCTCCAAGACTTGTGCGGCCGTGGTAGTCCGCGTTTTGTACATGTCAGCAAGCGAGGGTCCCCACCCAGCACCTGGCCCACAGCCTCGGATGAGTGTCGGCTCGTGCTTACGTGTCCACGGCACAACAGCGTGAAATTGACCACCATTTCCGGCAGCCATTCGACCACCAGCGCCTTCCATGAAATGGACCCATCAGAGCCCGCGACGAAGCATGAGGGTGTAGAATCGAGGGTTTCCCGCCAACCAATCTCGAGGTAACCAGTCTCGCTGGGGACAGCCATGGCGAGGTTTGTTTTTGTGATCAGAATTTTGTTCTGCATAACCCTGCACCGCAATATCGTAAAAGCTTCAATCAAGGCTAGTCGGCTTGCTCTCGATCAGCTCGACACCCGTCAATCACGCCAAAGAGGTTGCGGAGGAGGGTTGATGAGACCCTTACTCTTGTAACCCCTGCTCTTGGAAGTACCGCACTGATCCTATCGTGAGTCGAGAGGCGAGACTGACGTAGTCGTGCTTGCTAAGCGACCAGCTCTAACCGTGACCCGATCGGCTATGGCTAGCCAGCTAGTTGTTCGGGTTTCCACAACTGCCGCTCCGACGCTAGCGGCAGC